ATTTCACATGTGCAACATTAACTTTTGAGGGCTTCACACGCTGAAAGTCTTAGGGTGACAATAGGGCGGCTCATTGAAAGCTTTGAAGTAACACCACCAATCGTTCAAACAACCCGACAAGGCTTGAATACAAGACAAATATCCAAGCAGACGGTGGAAATACTGAGAGGAATCGCGGAATCACTCATAGTACTGCTCAAGCATGCAAAATCTTGAGGTGTTGAATCAGGACCAAGAGGGGTTTTGGATGAGATACTCATGAGCGTTTATGTACAAGTAGGGAGTAAAAACTTCTAGTGCTTGGCTGTTGGTCGTAGATAAGCAAATGACACGCCATATGTGATTATATGTGGTGAAAGTTTTGTCGAAATTTCGTTTCTGAAGCTTACCTAAACTAAATCCACGAGTTGATGGTTTGCATTGACTACCATAAGCTCATCAAAGGAGGAAATTTTGGTAATGGCGTCTCCTGTTCTAAGTCTTGAGGTTTTACCACATGGTTTGCGCCTAGAAGTTGCTGTAGAATACTCGATTAAAGAAGACCTAGGAGAACTGGGATCAGTACCAAAATGAGTTGAATCTTTAACGTCTAAATCAGCTATACATGGATGCATCAAGAACTGTTCAATTCATTGAAAGCAAAATGCATTTACTACAGAATATTTATTGGCTTTACTTGTGATAGGCTTTTCATGAAGATACGATTCGTATCTCATTAACAGATGGTATATGAGTGCCTGAGCTGCAGCTTGAGGGTGCCATTCGCACTACATGAGCATACCGAGTGGCTGATAAGAGTGCAATACCAGCAAGCTATTCTCATATATTTATGGATGGCAAACTTTACAATTCGTGTAGTGTGGGATAAGTTATTCAATTGTTTTAAACCGAATCAAAATAATGTTCTTGGGCATTACTTGACAAAGACGAAAGGCAATGAACGATTCAATACATGGATACACATCCACAACTAACGACCATAAAGCAAACATCGTATTTTATTTCAGTACGGCGCTGTTTTGAGAAGACGACCCGTTCACTTGGACTTATTTCGCGAGCGAGGAGGGATATGCCTTGACCGAGAGATATATGGGTTCCTTGGACATTCCTAACATCTAACATGAACTAACTAGGTAAAAGATGATTTCTTGCTGCAGAAGTTGTCTGATCCATTTCAGATAGAAAATCAATTAATGTATTACTCAGTTGCTATAACACCAGCCCCGATAGATCAATCTTTCAGTTCGCACGCCTGAGTCCGACTTGAGACTTGATAGCGTTTGCTGTATACACATTTCGTGTCTTTTGTTTCGACCTCCAGAACACTTGTTCCGTATATTAGACTTAAGAAGAGAAAAACATGAACACAAAAGAAGATAAAGTCATAATACGGCATAGCAAGGCATGGCATACGACTGTATTTGAACAGTGGTTGGGATGGAAAGGGGCAGACTGGCGTGCTTGTCTTTGCACCTTCAATTGCTCTCCACGTAAGCCCAATGTGGCTGTTGGATTCTTGCTTATCGAAATAAGAAGGGAGAAAACGATTCAAGAGAATGGGACTTTAGGAACTGGTTGTGTCTTGATTTTCAAGTAGAGATGCTGATATTGTTGTTGGACGGATGTGTAAATTATGGGTACGATAAAGCTTGGCATCTTATTGGTTCTTACTATCCATGCCCGCATTGTCTCCTAGGAGATGCATCAGTTATCCACCTTAAACTTACAGCCTCATCCTCTCCCTCTCCCTCTTTATTGCAACATAGTGTCGTCGTCAAACTTAACATCATGCCTAGCAATTCGCCATGATTTCGCGGTCATTCAACCGTATCTCTCTAAGCAATGGCAGGCGTACCTGTGCGCACACCCTTTCAGCCTCGCGCAAAAGTTCATACAATCCCGAACACTACCACTCCCTCTACAGAAACAATAGCAACGTCGAATCCTCCATTACGATCTAACGCTCCAGCGGCTCCCACCAACCGAAAGATCTCTACAGATGCAGATGCTATCTCCGACAGGTCTACATTGTTGTTCATACGTCGCACATTATGCTCACATCTTAGTGAAAAGGGCCGTAGTACCCCGACTCCAATCGATGAGATACTTCCCCCATTAACAAGTAGTAATGAGGTCGACTTGCAGCTATACGCATTGACAGCAATCATAATAAGGGAATTTGTGCATACCTGGTATGCGAAGATTACGCCGGACCAAATGTTTGTGGAGGAGGTGGTAAAGATTATTGCACATTGTACGAGAGCTCTGGAACAAAGGCTAAGGAAGGTGGACTTGGAGAGCTTGCTGTTTGAAGAGCTACCAGACTTATTGGATACACATGTCAAAAGTAAAGTCACCTGTGAGGTGCATCAAGCGATAATGCTAATCGATGAAAAGTATATAGAACTTCGCATTACCCTCTACACCCCGAACCAATTTCGGTGAACCCGCGACAAGTATATCATTCGCTCTGGCCTTTTGCGCCATTGTCCCCCGTTCCGCTTGATGAAGATCCCGATACGATTAAGAGCCAGTCGAATAATGAAGCTGCATATAGACAATTGATTGTCAACGGCGTTTTAGCCGTTCTACTGCCTACAGAAGATCTCGAGAATGATTGCTTGACATCTCTAGTTGGTCAGATTTTTTCGGAAATGATACTGGGGAATGGTATTGGTGGTAAAGCTTGCGAACCATGGCTATTATGGGAGGGTATAATGAAGATCGCAGAAGTCATACAAGCTCGACTACCAAAAGCTAAAGCTCAGGTTCGAATCGATAGGTCAAACTCCGAAATTACCAGACCGAACTTATTGGACATCAAAGCCGGCAATACGAAAGCTTCGAATTTTGGGAAATCGGTGCAGAAATATTTTTGGCTAATTCTTCAATATTTATTTCTGGCGTTCGCCGCGGTCCGGGTTATATTCATTGCTATTGCTAGCTCATCTTCATTGCCGTCTCGTATTCCTCCCACGAGGAAACCTACTGGCTTTACGTTGCCGAACGATGACTCGGAACCACCGATGAACTCGGAAGCGTTACCTTGGGCTCGAGCTCAACCACTCAAGCGCCCTATTCTGAAAATGAAGCTATGGTCATGCGTCTCTACTTTACTAGATACGGATGCTCGCATGCCATGGCTGAGCGCCACATTATCTCTTCTTCAATGGGGTGCAATTACCGGCCCTGGAAAAATTGGAGATACAGACGGCATGATTGACAAGTACGTTATTATGATTGATCATTTTTCATTTCGTTCCGAATTCCAGAATCCATTTACGGCGTCTGTCAGACCATCTATACATCACACCGCATAAACTTTTGGTCACTTGACCAAAAACGTTCCAGTTAGCTTGCAGAAACGAAGTCGTTTAATAATGGCCGTTCAGCATCAGGGATATAGTTCCCGTTATCGGTATGCATGACAAGGGACTGCAGAATGCCGAATGAGAAGTCTCTTCAGATGCCTAGCCATAAGCCACTAAAATGCAATGTAACATCGCCATGATGGGTTTGATAACTTACTCGCGAAATGGTGTACTCACTGGCATCATGCGGTCATATCTTCAAATCCAATCATCGTGCAAACCTAGAGATTCTGCATTCAACCATTGCTTCCCCTTGCCCGCATTGGATTATTCTTTTTATCCCTGTTATTACGTTTCGTGCAGTGGGTGCTTCAAATTTGGGGCGTAAAATGAGTCGTGCCTTACGATAACCTTCCCTAAGCGCCCGGCTCAATGGGAAGATAGAAATCTTACTATGCCTCGCATTATTGTTGCGCGGATTCCTTCCCCACATAAAGCATCTTCCAAACCAGTCAATTGCCGCTTCCTTCTTTTGCAAAACTTGGAAGATCTGCAATTTTTACGCGTTTCTCCGCTTCTTGGCCCCCATTTGCATCATGGCCCGAGGCGAGCAAAACATCCGATGACTTCGCCGCGAGCGTTTGAACCCCTTGTTTAGATGGTCTGGCTGTCAAAAGAACTCACTGATGTTACACATTCCTTAATATCTTATCTAAAATGATGCATCAAGTGCTATTTTGTGCTGCAATCTATCATCATTTTTAATCACCCATCCATTCATCCCATCAAGTCTCCTCTTTTCCATACACAACACCAACACAATCAATTCCCTACAGGCTGGCCCACATCATCCCATGTCTCAGCAATTGTAAAAGCCCAAACTAACAAGCATGGCAGACTCCTCTCCCACCAAATCCACACCCTCATTCTAGACCCCACTCTGTTACCACCCATTCTCTGCACCCTTCGCCAAACACTTTTCCCCAATAACACGCTCGCACCAGCGAGAATACCTCCTACACCCACTGAAACAATCGAAATACGACGAAGGTGTGCAGAGGCTATATTAGGTTTGATACCAATAGCCGTGAGAGATATTTACTTTGGTCGCACGTCTTTATACTCTTCGGGAAGTAGCACCGATATCATTGACGTTGATCTTGAAGCAAAAACCGAACTGTCAAAAGAAGAAAGACATGTTCGGGAAGTAGAAGACGTGTTGAATGTTTTTGGCGATGTGTATTGTAATAAACATTTGATATATGGAGTTGTGGAAATGATTATTATGAGAATAATACCAGAGCTGGGGGAGAAAGGAGTGCAGGAGTTATTGGATGAGCGGTTGAATTGAGTTTTCATACTTTGAGCTGTCAGCTTGCGTGCGTTGCGTTGAGAGTTTAGATACCCATTCATGCTTTTTATATTAAAAAATTTACTGAATTATTTGAGTCATGCACCGTAAAATTCCTGCTCACAGCCTTTGTATTGAAAGTTCTACCAAATCAGTGTTTGCAGTTTGAAAAGTCCATCATTGTAGCAGATTAATCAACCATTTCATTCCACAAGTATGTTTTGATCTGTCTGATGCTAGCTCGAAAAGTGAACAAGAAATTCTCGACCTCCTTGTCCTCGGATAACAATTAGCTCATCCATCCATCAGTCCATATTCATCCATCAATCCATCCATCCATGCACATATATCTCATTAGATCAACGAGTCCCATACCAATCCATCCCAATCTGTCTTCGTATCCTATTCCACCTACGGAAGAACTTCACCACAAGCTCACACAAGCACTATACAATAATCAAACGAACGATTCCAACAAGAAGAAGAAGAAGAAGAAGAAGAAGAAAAGAGTCCCTAAGTACAAGAAATACACCAAAGAGCGAGGAAGGTGAATGAATAGACTAACAAAGGTAGGTAGGTAGGTAGGTAGGTAGGTAGGTAACAAAACAAGCCGTACATGCCGTTTCATGAATTCACACACCAGGGAAATCCAACAAACAAACAAATCCCGGAATGTGAACTCTGCACCTCGGATCAAACAAGGCGAAATATATATATATATATATATTCCATCACAAAATTACCCGGTACGTACACGATTGAAAGAAAAGCACACGAAAAGTAATACAAAAATCCCGCCGAAAGTGTGTATGGAAAGAGAAAAGAAAACGTGCTATTAGGGTATGATGAGCAAAATCCTTTCAGGGGCATGAGAGCGCATATATAACAAAAACCCCGCGTGGAAGAAAGCCCAAAGAGGATATATAAAGAATTAAACGCGCGAGAGAGCAAGCAGATGAGTACTGAGCTGGAGATTTCGCGTGAGCGTCGAACATGTAAAGGAGGGAATCTTGGAAACCGAGTGAGCTTGGTTGGGTATATAAATTTCATCTGAGGATAGTTCCTAATTTTTTTTCTTTTTGAATTCCTTCCTAAATCCCCGATTTTGGCCACGCCGGTAAATATTATACACCTTCATTTTGACCGATCGCGAGTATCGGACAAGAAGAGGGTGATGCAAGACCGTTACTGATAGCAGGAAAAATATGAAGACGGGGGAGCTCATATACAAATTGAGAGATGTGATGAAAATAACGCCGGGGAATGATGAGTCTGGAACCGTGTGTTTAAAATGCCATGATGTACAGAGATTTAAAGCGTATATATAAAAGAGATATGAAACTCATTATTTGTTAGCAGGCCGTAGACTGTTCCATCTTCATATTTTGTGGCTGATTCTCGCAATCGTCCTGTTCCGAAATCCGATGCAAACCACCTGGTAAGGGTCCTGGATTCTGCTGTTGAATTCGCAACTTTTCGGTCAATTTAAGAACCGTCAGATACTCATTTTGATCCACCAATCCAGTCGGAGCTTGCTGGAAAAAATTCAGTAAAGTATCAAGCGCCCGGCGTGCATCATCCTGGGTAGGTGAATTTGGTGTTGAGAGATGTGGAGGTGATTGCAATCCGCTAATTGGAGTAAGTGATGCCGGTGGAGGAGCCAAAGAGCTATGACTACTGCTATGATGTAAAGACCTTGGCGAAATTGCAGAATCCAAGCCAAATGGAGGGCCTAATTCATGTACCGGCGATTCGACGGCTGATGAAGGGGCTGTGTCCGGTAAATTATACTTTGGCGTTATAGGATCATTGCCTTGCGAGGCAATGAACGAAGGATCAATGGCTAAAGTGGGGAAAGTCTGGCTTCTTGGACGTTGAAAGTTGCTAGCAGGATTATTTGGATCCATCCCATGGTTGATATTGTCTTCAGTGTTAGAATTTCCATTTCCATTCGTCGAATGATGTGTTACCCGAGATTGCTGAGATGGCATCCAAGATCCGGTACTTCCCTCAGGAGAAAATGCAAATGGTGTTGTAGGACTAGTTGGCCCCCCTGAAAACGACGATGCATTGTTGTCGGTAAAGGCACTAGACAATGAAGCTGTGCTGTGAGAATTTGAGTGTTGCTTGTAGCTAGCTGTTTGGGTGAAATCGAAATAGCTGTTCAAACTATCATGCATATGATGAGATCTGAGATCTTCACTACTCTTAGCGGATGCTAATAGCAAGGGGGATTGTAATGGCGAAGCGGGTGAGACACCATTAGACGTTCGTGATCCGGAACTTCTGCTCGAATCGATGTTGAGCGCCATGCGTTCGGAAAGACTACCAATATCGGCCGCGGAAGCTCTTCGTCTGAGATGACTGATCCCATTCTTTTGCTTGAATTTTTCTAGCCAAGTTGTGCTATTTGTCTTTAGGTGACTCTCATTGTTACCAACTGTGGTGGCAAAAAATCTAGCCTTCTCCTTAATCGCAGAATCGGTAAGAGGAATCCCCTGCTTTTGGGTATTTCGCACCCAATTCGATAGGGCTCTCTCGATATCAGGGAACTTTCCTTTGGCTCGTTTGACTGGAGATAAGCTTCGGTCTTCAGGGAAAAGATATTTTTCTCTTTGGCGTAAAACTTTAGAAACAGTACTGCATTCTTTCTTAGTTAAGGTCAAAACTCCAATGTTAACTGTCAATCATACCTTCGTTCAACACCAAACATGGCTAAGAGAGAAAAATTAGCAAGAAAATCATTTAAAGGAGTCTTGTCATGTCATACCTCCAATTTCCGTCTGCTTGACAGTAGGGTTGTCCTCATGATATTGACACATCCGTCTTCGATCACTATCAGTGAGCGTCTTCCTTGGAGTCGGAGTAGCATGGATAGTTGGTAGTTTTGGAGGTGGTTTACCAGAGTTCGCAGGAGGAATCGCCACAGGTGGTGCTTGAGAGTTTGCAGGATTTGTCAACATGCTCGGCCACGTGGGATGGTTTGGCATGATGAGAGGAAGCAGTTGCTGGTGATGCGTGGGATATGTCGGCGGTGGCGGGGCCATTCTTGGGTTTGGATACTGAGGCTCAGTGGGCATTGGATGATGCTGGTTCATATATTCATATTGAATCCTATTTTCAAAGATTGGTGATTGATGCTGTGAAGAGTTGTAATTGTTGCCCATATCCTGCCATTGACCTTCACCGCCGTATCCATTTTCTTGTGGATTGTGGTGTTGCTCATGGTCCATGCCAATATGGGCCATCATAGATTCGTGCATTCTTTGATCTATGGTCTCTAAACGAATGGTCTCCCAGGTGTTTCCTTAAATTCCAGAAACCCGAGGCAATTGAAGTTGTTTAATAGTACAGGACCTTGCGTAAGGTATACAATATCAGGGACGTTGAAAGCCTCAAGAGCGGGATACTGCATGCATGATAAGCAAAGCGAAGTATGGTTCCTGGCAGCGTCAAATATATAAACCCTGCGGAATCTGCAGGAGTAACAGATTGAGTCTGGCTGATTTATTTCAGGTGATGTGAAGTTTCGAATGCGAGAATATTTTGAGATTTGTTTGAACTAATGCTAGACGCGCGCAGCTAAAGGAAACATGCACTTCTAAGTGTGGTGGTGGTGGCCGATTTTGGGGATGGTAGTGGTGGTCTGCGGTAGATGGGGTAGAAGACGGATGAACAATTATTATTATGCGACCAGGGAGGGTAGGAATAAATGCTGGGAAAAAGATGCTAGAAAATACTCGCTGCAATGCCGAAGAGGGGAAGAAACACGAGGCGTATGCGAAAAGCTGCAATGGATATTATGCTGGGGAAGGCGCGCAACCAAGAAAGATGTATGTATGTATGTATGTATGTATGTATGATGTATGTAGGTATGATGAATGGATGGGACGTTATAGTATGTGAGTGAGTAGGAGGTAAACCTAGACTTTTTGGAGTTTGTGGTAGTAGTGGTCGGTTCATGGAAATTTTGCAAGGTAAAGGTTCCGCAGCAGCAGGAAGAGGGAGTACTTGGGAACTGAATATATTAATGGTGGGGACCAATTGGACTAAGAAGAATAGATGCTAAGTTTGCTTTCTTTACTACCATACTAGGTTAAAGACTACTTCTCATAAGTTTCTCAAGCATGGGAGTGTGGAAAGCAATGGCAAGGAATCAATCATGGAGCAACGACGAATGAGCGAGCTTGGAGAATGGGATTAGCAAGGGTAAAAAGAAAAAAGAGGACAAGAGAACGAATCGAAAGGGGGATGGATGGACTTTGGTGTAGACATTCAGAAGAACCGCAGGCAGACAGCAAGATAGACCAGATAACTCAAAGAAAAAAAGGAAAAGCAAATCGTTTGAAAATATTCAAAAGAAGTCATTTACAAGGATTCGAATTGATGATTGATTTTGGTAGGGTTTAAATATGGTTTAGTAAGGTTCAGGTACAGGGAAAGTACGAAGTAAGACTTGAAGACTTACCTGATTTGTTGCTTTGAGCAAATGATTGCTTGGGAGAGAAGTCCACCAGATGAGAAGCGGATCTAATCAACTAATCATCTGTGTACATATCTGTTCAAAAGAGTCCACGGGTAGCTCAAGTAATGCAATAATTGCTGATTGTATTATCAGAGCTAGCTGAAGGAATCGCCGAACATCTAAACATATCTAGAGGGAATCTCAAGGTCTTCGAACGGAAGATTCGGGGACCTCAGGAAGCTCAATGGGAAGAGTGGAGAGGACAAGTATCTAATTTCGATCAGATTGACCTTTTTGAAGCTTTATTCAGTAAAAATATATCGTCATGTCAAGGTCCACTCTCATCCGCTTTCTCCAAAAGATTGAGAAGTTGAGGCTTTTCCAGGTTTTTGTAGGGTATATCCAGATGATTATCTTCCAAATAGGTTAAATGTCAAATCGCATCTCATTTCAGCTGAGTCAAATGGGGAATCGACTAAACTACTCAAGGTCTAAAGTTTTGCTGGATATCGTAGATGATAACCAGGATATGGAGCTATTAACGAATAAAACGCTTAGATGAACCTACTAGATATTTGAATTTGCTTCTAGCTTCTGGTTTGATAACCAAGTTAGTCAAACGGTACGCCCCGGAAGTAAAAAAATGAGGTAAATCCGTCAAATGATCTTGGTACTGGGGATGACTTATTAGCTCGAGTTAGTTGCCGCAGTAAGGACAATTAAATCATTCATTATCATATCATATTATATCATATCGTTTCAAATACTACCTATTGCTCAGACCCAGTTGATAATGATTGATTTTTCTTTTTTGTTGAGTCTCTAGGTTAGGTTCGGTTCGGATAATTATATTGATAACAAGAACAATCATCATAAAAGCCCCTTCATCGTCTCGTCTCGCCCAAAGTTTGTCTTTTCTGCATTTTGATAACGAACTTTGATGGTGCAACAGGTGTACCGAAAGTACAAGGGTTTCGGAAAACCCAGCCAGCAATCAGAGCTCATTCAAACTCGGAGCAACTTCCACCTATTCCCCTAAACAAGTAACAAACTGATCCCTTCTATACCAAAAGTTGTCATGTACCATATTAGCCAAAATCCGAAACCTAGTCAAGCCACCCTTATTAGACGAACCTTACATGGAATCCGAACGTTTCGTTGCCGTAAGTTACCATGGTGTAGAAGCTACAACCAACCCTCGTGGTGGAAAAGAGGATCGTTGCAGAAATGAATAGATCCGTACCTTACTTACCGTAAGCAAAGTTAGTAAACTCTATGTCTATTCTGGTCCCAAGTTTTGGACCCCAATCGAGATATTGCATGGCATTGACTTCATCGTTTCGCATTGCTCCCTCTTGACAAGACAACTTCGCCTCATTTCTTGATCTTGGGGGCCATTGAAGTAGGTACCATTCATCCTTCGTCCCAAGTTTCCAACTGTTGGTATCTAAGTACCATATTTGTATGGTTGGGAGCTACAGATATCTGCTGCAACCACCAGCAACCTCCTGCACTTCAGCATAATGGCAAGGCTTCATTCACTCGGCTTTAGTTCAGGGCGCTCGTAGGTGCAACCCATTTCATGTACTGCATTTGTAGCGTGCATTGCCCCTGAGTAACCCACCTCACATAGCAGATACAGGTAACAGGATACAGCCATGGCCATGACCGTCTTCTTTCATCTCACCCCATGAGTTCCATTCCATCTCGCCTCGCATCTACTCTGATCGCGAACTCCGAAATCGTATCAAATTCCCAAATTCGATCTCCTAGCTAGAATCGCTTCGGCTGCATCGGTACATACCGACCAGGGGGGTTTATGTTTGGAAATCTTAATACCCCACTGTGTGTCCGTCCCCCTTGACTTGAATCCGTACTCCACCATGGCATTGTATCTCGCGAAGTTCTCTTTTGAGCAGATGGGATCTGTAATTGTCGAAAGTGTTTAGGCATACATGTGCCACTTCTCCTCTTTCCCGTTCCGCTCCCCGCCCAAAGCATGAATGACTATTAACCATCCATCATTGACGACCGAACAAACACCACTCCAATACATCCATCCTCCCGTCTTCATTATCCATATCAAACCGTGCCACCAACCTAACCGAAACCCCCGAATGTGGAGGAACCTCGCATCTGAAGTTGGGCTCCCCATCTTTGTGCATCATCCACGTTCTTAATCATTGGTCTAACCGTACACTTTCGTGTCAAAAACTCCGGGTGAAATTCTAATGGCCCACTATTCATTCAAATCCATTTGCAATCATTCCTTGCAACTTCATTCATTTTCATAATTCTTTCAGATTTTGTTTTATTTTGCTTTATTTTATTTTATTTCATTCTCTGCGATATGTGTTTACTTCTTGATTAATTCTTCAGCGACGATCTCAAGGGAGCCCTACTTTACGTTTCATCAAGGGAGAGCAGCTTGTATAAGCGGCCGTGAGGCACCGCTCGCTATCATTTACAAATGTACACCCAACTTCTTGATTCATCCAAGTCACAGAAAAATAGCAGTACATCCGTGGCGCGTTCACCATGTGAAACAAACTCTTTACATAACGACGAAGGGGGAGGGGATTTAACCAAAAGCAAAAATAAACGCGACCACGTCCCCATTTCAAACCTACGTCTTGGCTGCAACATACACATCTCTCTGCTCAACAGCGGTGAAGGAACCTAGAAACACCATCCAAACTTCAACCTCGGGACTTTTGTAGATCCTCTATCACGAGGTGACAACTTCATTTCAAATCACCCTCAGCTTATTCACTGTCTCTGCTTAGACCTCTTTGCTAGCTTACAGCGGCAAAACATACATCATGATACATGCTCAAAGACATCCTATCTACGTATATACCTGGTACCTAAAGCTAAAACTACATCCACGTTTTTCTCGTCGGCGGCAATTGAGACAATCTTATCGACATCGCGGGGAAATGATCCTCATTTGCTCTACTCAACTTGAGCATCTAGACTGACCTGACTGGCTCAATGAACATCGACATCAAGGTTTGGGGAAATATCATATTACAAACTTTCCCATTCGAAATTGACATCCATTTTCATTTCAATAAACCTTCTCGAGAGCTCCCATCTGAACTTTTCTTCTCTCAATAGATACATACTGTAGAACTAATCTTCAATCCCGTCCACCTCATCTCACCTCATCCGATTCTACACAAACCACCCTCCCAAGCCTGCGTCGATCATCCAATTCTTCCCAATTCTTCCACTTCATATCAATTAAATACCACAATCCCATCCCTCATCCATTCCAACCAATCACATTCTCCAACCATGTAAAAAATCCCCCAAAGAGTCAACGTTCCCACACAGCGGAGTCCATCGACCGCTTAAAACGCCTCTGTAGCCGCCGAAGAAACATCCCAATCATGTATGCAAGCAAGCAAGCAAAAGCACAGGCGAAAGCGAACGCGATCAACCTTACGAAAAACGGTTACCCGAAGCGCCGAATTTTCAGGAACGCACAGGTTGATCAACCAGGTGTCAGGACTCAGGACTCAGGTACGGACATGACGGAGGACCGGGTGTGACCGCTAGGCTTAGTTGAGGTTGCGAATATCATGATTCATGACGACGATGATGATGTTATTGATGGGTGGGATGAATAGATGGATAGAGAATGAAAGAAAGAAGCAAAGAAGCAAATAAAAAAAGAAGGAAAGACGTCTGTGCAGCCACGATTATAGATAGGTACCTAGCTTTGACATGATATAATGCGATATGACATGATATTGCACGAACCAATGCGGATTTCTGTTACGATCCGCTCTCTATCTATCTATCTTTACCCGGCGATTTAGGATCGAGAATCTAGATTTATCGGATCGAGAGTTAAAAGAAAACTACAATGAGATAGATGCTTTGCTAACTCCGAGTGAGGGGAGAATTATCTTTTTTTCTTCCTTTTTTTTTTTTGGCATCTATAGAGATATGCCCAGGACTCAATACGCATTAGAACTACTTACTATACAGAATCAATACTTCATCAATTCATCCCTCCCTCCATCGCTCACCCGTGATTCCAATTCCAACGAGTAATATGAATCATGCAATACCTACCTAGTCAATCCCATTTCCAGGCACCCGAGAGATCCTCCCCCCGCGGAATATGCCACTCTATGTCGGCCAAATCCCAATCCCAATCCAACTCATACTCACAACAACCTCTCCTCATCTTAACGCCGACACCCATGAATCGCCTAGGCATCTCATCTATCTCCAACTCAATCACTCCATCACTCTCCTATCCCATCGGGCAACTGATAATATAGAATTTCATTTCAACCCCCATTTTCCATTGCCGTACATACCATATCATCACTGCTGCCTCATCCTCAACTCCCCTCACCTAATTAGCAACTTCACCCAAACAAACACTTACCACACCTCATCCTTAGCCATCTTCTCCACATACCCATCCATCCACCCAAACATCCAAACATCTCATCCCAATCAAGCAAAACCCGAGCATTCAAATCCAAGTCTCATCATCTGATCCAAGCGTCCCCATGCGCATAAACTGGCCCAGGCCCATGGAATCCCGAGATATCATTCATCACATCTTCGTAGCGCCTACCTGAAGATCATTGATTGATTGACCCATCCATGAATCCATCCACCCATTCAAAAGTTTCGCCACTATCAAAGTTGACAAATGAATCCAAAAAGCAGCGCATTGTATCACATGTATACATGCCAATATAAAACACTAACTATTTTGTATTCAGAGCCCTGTCCTGTCAATTCAAGTATATTGAGGGGTAAAAAATCTCTTTTGGATATTCATCTATATCTTCCTCATATTGACCTTCGTAGCCTTCTCATACCAAAACAAGCAGAGGCGCCAATCCGTGAGTAAGAATCTACGGGCAACTGCTAGTACTGTGGCTAGCAGCCACCCCTTATCTCTTCCAGAGTCCAGTAACCCAAATGCCCGCATGTGTCTGTACCTTAACATGACGCCATTGACTCCCGACGAGCGCTGCCACTACGACCATATCAGCCCATTCCCTACTCTATCTTCCGAAATTCTTGGCTTCTTCAACGTCCATCGTCTTTCTCCCGCGCTGGTCGTACCACCGGAAGATCCTTGGTCGTTACACCGAATCGTTCTATTCTGCATGATTTTTATCGTTTGACAATAGTAACTGCAAGATGAATTAGCTCGAATGTCCATAACAACTGCCTAATCGACATGTGAAAACTTACTAATATCTTCGTCTGCTAATTCGTGACTAAGACCTACACGCTGAGGTTGATGCTTGACTGATTTTCCATAAACAATAGCCACGCGGAAATCGTCCACAATAGTTTTATGGATAGCGTTACACTTTGATCACCGTTAGTCAGTTGATGCTGTGCTACGCGATTCTCGGAACCTGAAAATAGCCACTTACAAAATCTTCAACTGTGCACCGCGTGGAACGTAACACTACTGGTGCTGTGTAATCAGGCAATTTTCCTTTGGGCTTTGTATAAACTCTGACAAGGTTTAGTTTCTCCCACCTGTTTCAAGAGTTAGTATCAGGTAGTCAGGTAGTTCTGGCAACCACAAAAATCTGCTAGCTCCTGGTGAACGCCTTGCATCTTCTCATGAGCGAGTCGGTTACAGCCCCAGAACGCCGCGCCACTCGATTGAATTTTACAAAGCTCCCAAGGCAAAATTTCATATAAAAGTTCTCAAATCATAAACTTACATCTGTTCTAACAATTCGTCAACGTTCCACCCATGCTCAGAAGAGATAGGACATGCGTTTGGGATTCTGTAAAGCAAATCAAGTTCCTCTATCGAGATGGCATCGATTTTGTTCAGTGCATAAATGACAGGAATATAACTTCGTCCCTTGGCCTCTAGTACGTCTATCAGATCGTCGATAGTGGCGTCGCAACGAATGGCGATATCTGCGGATGAAATTTTGTACTCGTTCATGACAGCCTTGATCTCATCGTGATCGATATGCGTCATTGGGACAGTATTGGTGATATTGATTCCGCCCTTGTCCTTCTTCTTAAACACGATGTTTGGTGGTGACTTGTTAATTCTAATTCCAAATCCTTCCAGTTCGTCTTCAATGATTTTCTTATCCGTCAAGGGTTTATTGACATCCAATACAATGAAGATCAAATGGCATGTCTTGGCAACCGCAATGACTTGTCGACCTCTACCCTTTCCATCTTTAGCTCCTTGAATGATACCGGGAAGATCCAGAATTTGGATCTTGGCTCCATTGTATAAAATTTGACCGGGTACTGTCGTTAAGGTTGTGAATTCGTATGCCGCAGCCTCTGAATGTTGTCCGGTAAGTTTGCTCATCAATGTACTCTTTCCCACCGATGGAAATCCTATGAATCCAACACTGGCGACACCTGTACGTGCTACATCGAACCCTACACCTGCTCCTCCACCACTTGACGTAGGGGTCAATAACTCTCTCTTGAGTTTAGCGAGCTTTGCTTTAAGTTGACCAAGATGGAAACTTGTCGCCTTGTTCTTTTGGGTTTTGGACATCTATCACTTCGTTAGGATCTATCGACGGCGAATTGACTAGGCCCTGGGAATATACCTCATCCTCAATTTGTTTGATCTGTGGCGGGGCATTAGCATTGGGGAAAAAGGTCGTGAACGAGGGAGTATACCTTATCAGCGGTGGTCGACATGATTGCGGCTTTTTCTGGTCAGATCCAGATATCTTATCTAAAAATATGTATTACTGAGGAGATTTGTTGGCGGAAAGAATAGGTTACGATTTCTCTCAAGCTGGATCTTAAATTTTGGAATTGAAGATGATGTGCATTTCATTGTGGGGTTCTGCATCAAAAATTATTTCTATGATTGCATAGTTTTAACCTCAGGCACAGATATTTTTCGAATCCCCCAATTGGCAAGGTTTCCAATTCAACTGATGTGCCACTCACTCACCGGGGATCCTTGAAGGTCTTGTCAGAAATTCACTTTATTGCGAGTCATTATAAGGATCATGGATCCTCGAACTATCTGTGCAGCTTTCTTCATTTTAGGGACCACAGTTGATTTAGGTGGAACTTTGATACCTTCATTCCGACAGCATGTCATGAACTATGGCAGTCGAGGGTTCACACCAAATCCTGAGAAAAGCACACCCCCTCAGAGCAAGACTACGCGTATATTCGAATACGTTGGCTCTATACAGGTTCCCCATACATGGTTCACTCACTATTACGTCGTCTCCGTGGCCTCTTCCATTTTCTGGGCGTTTCAAATTATCACACGTGGACCTGCTTTCAGATTACTTGCCTCGTACTCTCGACAAGATGCGACAAACTCAATGTCAGTTAATCAGGTAACTTTGACATGGACACTCATGGCTCTGCAAGGTAGCCGGAGAGTGTATGAGAGTCTTACGCTCACTAAACCTTCCCAGTCGAAGATGTGGGTCGGGCTTTGGGCTATTGGAATTGCGTATTATTTGTTCATGGGAATTTCAATTTGGATTGAAGGCATTGGTGAGTGTTATGAATTGTAATCTCGTAATTCTTTCCATTGATGACTAACTACCTAAGCCATACTTGATGCGACCACGAATCCACTAGGTTCGATAGACATCTCAAAGCCCTCTTTGAAGACTTGTGTGGCAGTACCTCTATTTGTGATTGCATCTGTCTGTCAGCATGACTGCCACAAACACTTGGCAAGCTTGAAGAAGTATACTCTTCCCTCGAGCCCATTCTTTCGCCACATCGTTTGCCCTCATTACACTAGCGAATGCTTGCTGTATATTGCAATTGCCATTGCAGCCGCGCCTCAGGGACAGTTCCTGAACAGAACCATATTGGCAGGGTTATGTTTTGTAATATCAAACCTTGGAGTAACTGCAGATTCAACAAGGAAATGGTATGCCACAAAGTTTGGTGTAGATAGTGTAAAGGATAGATGGAGAATGATACCATATTTATACTAGAATGCTCCCCTCTCAGAGTTTGGTCTAGATAACTGGAAGTAGAAACGGAGGCCGATGCTATATTATAAGATTAGGTCTCTCATCGTTTGCCAAATATCCCTAACTTTGAACCTAACTTCGATACTTTGAGTACGTCCCGATACGTGAGGCTAGTTCGCTCCTGTCTCTCATATCTACCATCAATAATTTCATCTTTAGACCGTAAGAGATCCCAGTTTGCGACTGTTGTGGAATTTAGGTCAATTTCTGCCTCCGTCTCGGATATTCCATGATAGTAGTCTGTATACAGTTCATCTGTTGTGATCAACAAACTCCTTGGCTCCTGGAAAATTCTCCATCTTGGCTGCTCTTCTCTTGTTCCGTCGTCTTTGTCTCCATAGATATTCAAGCATAGGCTTGCGCCTAAGCTTACAGTGCAGACGACTGGATGATAGGCGGCTCCATCTTTGTGTGGCATAATCCCCTGCTTTGGCAGATATTCATTGATTAGGACATGATTCGGACGCTCATGTGGACTATCACTAAAAATGTGACGTGCTCCAGTTTCGTGCGAGATAGGTAAGGAGAGAAGTCGAGAGACAACGGGATCTGTTAGCCATTTGGGCAGAGGCGCATCCAATAGAGTATTCCTGGTCAAATCAGAGGGCCATGTCTGAAGACGACGATGAGTTAAATGCTTCCATCGTGGTTTTGGGGCTGTGGCAATCTGTGGGAATCAAAATGTCAAATATCACGTCTTGAATGAACCCAGAATCGACCTACTTTTTGCAATAATATTTGTTCTTCTTCCTCCGTAAGAAAATTAGGAATATAAAAAGCTTTCGAAGGGAGAGTCTTGATTTGAGCTTCATCAAGGGATGTTGGTAAGGCTAGTTGTGGAATGTCCATGCTGGATGAATCGGTACCTTTGAAGAGTGCAATTAAACTATCTCGGGTGATAATGTGAGGGTATGTGTGAACTTTGGAGGGGAAGAGATATAGTGAAGAGATGAGTCTCAAATGAAGTTATAAGGGAGGGGTGATAGAATAATATGCACACAAGTATCTTCTCGATGACGAAAGATAGGTAGTGAGCGGCATAGCCTTACCTAGTAGCTTTTCGTTAGGTCATCTGGGTTATCTTCACGTGTTCTCCCTCTTAAAAAATCATGCTTTGATCACGTGTTGAAGAAGCCAAGTCTAGAATGTAGAAATAAAAGAGGGCCATTGATAAATTTATTTGTTTTTAACTGTCAGAATGTAAAGCAATGATAAAGCACTAATAAAGCCCCAGTAACAAGGAGCCAAGGAGCCAAGGTAGATAGATACATAGTACTCGTACGTAAAGGCGAATACGGTAGACTTTCTGACTTTCAAGTCCTCGAAGATTTTATCTCTCACTTCCAAGTTCCTATCTGCTACCTACTAGGTAGGCTCTAGGCTCGCTAAGTGGTATCCATACAAGCACTTTGAGTTTTGAAGAAGTGTTCGTTAGAACTTATTAGGAGTTAGGACTCTCTAGAAAGAGTTTAGGTGGGACCTCGGGATGATCTGATACAAGCTAAGAAAAAAAAGAAAAGTAGGTCATTTGATGCGTTGTACTCCTTTGTTTGGCTGGAATAATGGCATAGGCATTCGAGTTTTGGCGAAGTTTCGTTGTTAGTTTTTCTCTACATTCTACTGTACGGTACTTGATAGATTAGACTTCGATGATACTGTATTTTGAGTTAGACCTCAAATAGAATTCAGTTAGACTTCTCTACTGTCAATCTAAGTTCACGTCTACGTTCACCTTATCCGAAGCGAAAAGAACTTCTGTGGCGAAGTACTGAATGATATAAATAGATCACTCGACTCCGCACCGGCAGATTTGTTGAAGATGTAATTGTTCTGTAAGCTTCGTCGTATTCAGATCCTATTCTCTTTCTCTCATCTCTCTCATCTGCGGTATGATTCTGGATTCGAGATAGAGATAGAGACGGTGGGTATGATTAGTTATCTCCATACCCAGTACCTTAAGCATCAAAAAGGGGATTTGAGGAACAAGTGTCAAGTGTATGGCTGGGTATTTACCATACATACACCCAGACACCCAGACACCCAGACATCCACACATCCATACCCAGGTAGGTCGGCATTCATGAATCGAGTATAGCGAGCCATGTAGTTTTTGCTTTGTTTTGCTTTGTTTGGCCTCGAATCTGGTTCGATTGTTGTCCTGTTGTCATGGAACCATTTAGGACAATGCATATTGTCCTATGATAGACACGATAGACAGGATGGACAGAATAGACAGGATAAGACAGGATAAGCTCGTTCATGAAAGTTCCTTATTCAGTGTTTTGTGCTTAGTGTCTGAGTGGGGTTCCGTATCCCGTGTACCTTGTCTAGCGCTTCTCCTGACTAAGCGTAAGTAAGAGTAATTCAATTCTATCTGGAAACTCGATTCCTCCCATTTAACAAAACCACACCCAAATACTACTTAGCTCCTTGGGTACAATTCTTCTTCAACCAATCCTCAAAATTTACACATATCCGTACACATACTTTCCCACTTACCTCCAATTCAAGATTTTCACGATCCACGATTACCTTACGAATTTAATGATATAATCCGTTCGCCTTTCGGGATTCCAACTTCAACAACACAATTTACCCGGCGCATCTAACTAATACATCTATCAGTTTGAAGGACTCGGATGCTCCTCCTTGTCCCGAAAACCATTCACAATCAAAGTGTCTACTCATAATATAAGCCAGGATGATCCGCAGGATACAGCGAAACATAGTCTAGATGTTATGGGCACTCACAATCATGAGGGAGCAACGGCTACAAAACATGGTGACTCGACCACCAGCCTTATCGATCGAAAGGACAAAATCAACAACGCCAGGAATATCATCAAAAGTCCGACGCCTTCCGGAAGACAAGAGACTGTGACTGATTCCGAGACTTCGAGGGATGTGGATATGCCCGATGCACCCCCTGAAGATATCGATGTGAAGAGTGATTCAGAAGCAGAAACAATTGTCCTGGAAGGCAAAAATGGCCACTCACCCTCGAAAACTCGAAAATCGATTAAGCATGAAGATAACAGTGACGAGGAAGATATTCGAAAGCCGTCCGAGTCTAGGAAACGTGAAACCTTATCACTGGAAGCACTTTCTCATAACGAAAATCATTTAGGAAGGCGCAAGCGTCTTAAGGTCGACCCTTCTGAGCCAAGTAAATCTCAGTCTGGCAGTGGGAGATTATCTAATTTACAAAGCAAACGGCATTCATCTCTTCCAAAATCTACTGCGCCAGAATTGAGATCTGACGAATCATCGTCGCCACCATTATCGAATTTAGAGAGCGTCGATAAGGCTACACCCGTTAAAAGGGCTTTCTCACAGAATAAACAGAACCCATCGGACTCAGATGAAGATCATGTCGACCACGATGATCGAAAATTAGAGCGACTTCGAAATTCTGCCTTGAATAATGTGCAAAGGAAAGGAAACATCCCCTCACTGAGCATCAGCATGGAGAATACTTTAGGTGTCAGGAAGGAACGATCAGAGTCTCCCCACCACGGACGTTCTCACAAACGCGGTCACTCTACTCAATTTCCCTCGAAGTCGATTCACAATTCAGGCCACCGTAAAGGACGAATACCGCCCCCTCTTCTATCTACCGAGTACCAATCCGATGACTCTTCTGCTAGCGGGCGCTCACACCCTCGTAGCTCTCGGCCCCGGCAACGCACAGCTTCTACCATCAGAGATCTTGCTACGCCAGTCACTGTGCCCCAAAAGAAGAAAAAACACCTCGATAGTTCTGGCGCAACTATGTTATTCCAGTTTGTTCGTAAGAATAACCTCGCGGGAGTGATGGAAGAATTCAACAAGCACCCTGAAGACCTAAACCAAGCAGATAATGCGTTGAATACACCACTGCATGGTGCAAGTCTTGTAGGCTATGATAAAATCGTCGAATTTCTTTTGAGCAAGGATTGCAACGTTGATGTAGTCAATGACCTTGGCGACACACCACTTCATGATGCCATTGACAATGGTCACGTTGAAGTTGTGAGACTCCTTCTAGAGTATGGTGCTGACCCACGTAAGGCAAAGAAGGCTGGAGGTGACGAGCCTAGTGATCTAGCAGCAGCTTATGTTAGTGTTCCTGAGGACGAGGAAAATACCAGGAAAACGAGGAAAGAGATGCAGCAGCTTATTGAAGATGCCAAGTCCAAGTACCATGAAGATACTGTCCTGAGCGAACAAACGACGGGAGAAAACGCAGATCATGAATCCTATTCAAGAAACAGTCCTCATCATAGCCCTACCTCTGAGCATCCTGGTATATCGAACGGCTTGCGAGCACGATCGTATAGAACTACACACCGAGACTTATATCGAGATCATAATAATGCTGAAATGCTTCGGGAAGCATGTCGAAACGGCGATCACCCAAACATTTACAATTGGCTAGATGTCAATCAAAAGAAGGGGAAGGATCCAACATCTCTTCTGATCGCGGCAAAAGCTGGCGACAAATTTGCTGTCGACCTACTACTTGGCCTGGGTAATTATGACTGCGATCCTGAGCCTCTAAGAGGTGTAGAATTTCGATGGTCCACACCAATGCTTTGTGCTATTCATAAAGGTCATATTGACGTGGTTAAGTGCTTGCTTTCAGGAGACTTCGACCCGACCAGGCGGTTGAAGGATAAGACTTACTATGAACATGCGCAGGAAAGAGAGAGGGGCAGTCCCAATTATGAGTCAGTCGTTGAAACACTCAAAAATGCTTTCAACTCATATTCGAAGCCAGTCAAAACTTCGCCCTCCAAATCTCGCTCCCCCAAACTTCATCGAGACTCTGATCGCGGCCGCGATTCTAGAAGGCCAGTAAGGACTACCCGTGATCGATCTTCACCATCGCGGAAGAGGAGTCCTTCAAAATCGATGAGGAGTTTAGAAGTAGGATTATCACGTCGCCCAAGCAGCGACTCCCTTCATACGAGCCTCATCACACAGAACCAGGCAAGAAGAGGCCCAGGCCGTCCAAGAAAAGAAGAAAGCAATGCTTCGCATCCGACTTCAGACACAGAAAGCACTCCTTTAGGTCCTCCTAAGAAAAAGATGCAAGCTCCGAAGGTTACAGAAGCTGATGCTGCAGCAATGTCTTCTGAAAACGAGCCTCCAAAACCACGACGTAAGCTTGTCTCTGGTAAGGACTTGAGAGGGGAACGGGATAGACAAGGACGTGGAAGTATTGCATCAAACTTTTCTACCGTATCTGTCCAGGATCGAGACCAGGTAGAAGAGTCGAAGAGAAAGGATGGCAAACAGAAAACCACAATCATTGCGCAAACAGCCGATCTTGCAAATGAAGACCAGGTCTCAAAACCTTCCATCGTTGAGATGGCGTCGGATAAAAGCGAAAAGCACGACAAAGCTAAAGCCTCCAAGCGAGATAATTCTAAAGACCGACTAGCTTCTATTCGTAGTGATAAGAGTCCGATAAAACGACAACGCCAGAGCACAACGCCACCTCGCACAGGTACTCTTGATACAATGGTTCCCGCGGAGACTGATGGTGCTCCATCTAAGCGCCAGAAAGTAGAAGGACTTTCAAAGCATATTGTCACAGATCAAAATACATCAAACTCCTGTACTGACCAGTCAGCACCCATTCTTGATACAACATCTCAAGATAAATTAGCTTTGAAAACTCCCAAGGAGAACACACCAAGAGTTTCATCCAAACCCACTGGGGAAAATGAGACATGTTTCAACAAAGAGAACGAGGAAGTCCAAGCAGCCAAAAAGTCCGAGCTCTTAAACCTGGCCGATCTGGAACGCAAGAAGCAGGTGAAATTGGCAAGGGAAGCTCGAGAAGCCAAGCAGCAGGCCAAAGAGGCTCGTGAAGCGAAAGCAGTGGATGAAGCTCGAGAAGCTAAGGAGAAGGAAGCTCGAGAAGAAAAGGAGAAGGAAGCAAGGGAGGCAAAAGAGAGAGAGGCAAGGGAGGCAAAAGAGAGAGAGGCAAGGGAGGCAAAAGAGAGAGAGGCAAGGGAAGCAACAGAGAAAGAAGCGAAGGAAAGAGAAGCTCGTGAGAAAGAGGCAAAGGAGGCAAAAGAAGCTCGAGAAGTCGAAGAGGCTCAGGAGAAGCTGGCCATTGAGGAAGCTGCTAAGCGAGCACAGGAAGAAGAGGACCGAAAATCACGACATGCCCAGGAAGAACGCGACAAAGCAGAACAGAGGCGAATATACGACGATCAGAAAAGGATCGAGCGGGAGAAATTAGAACAAAACCGGGCCGCTGCGCAAGAGCGAGAACGGTCTGAGAAAGCGAGACAGGCGCGAGAAAAGGAAGAACAAAGACTATCAAAACTTCCACTTCTACTTCGAGTGTTTGACCAACTCCCACAAGCTGGGACACTCAAAATTGCTTCTTTGTCCAAATTCCGAATCATACAAGGATATCGATATGATACCATCAGACCAGAAGCAATAGGTAGCCCCAGTGCGCGAGAGCAGTGGATGCTCAACACTGACGTTGCGTTGTTGCTGGGAGAGAAAGACCTCGAATTATCAAGATGTGAGTACAGGAAAGTGAACAAGTAAAGAAGTTGCATTGACTTGCTGTGATAGATACCGCATGGGAACGTATTCCACTTGAGATGGATGCCAAAGAAGCTATATGGCCTCGTGCACACGCAAAATATTCTCGTGATCCTTTCAAGCCAAATATACTTATTCCTTCGGATGAACGTGCGCACCTGGCAGAAGACGCTAAGCCTCTGTTCTTTGGGCTCGATCTTTTCTTCGTAAAGGTACGTGTTCTGAATTTCTGAAAATTGTCAGCTTGCTCACATCATTGTAGGTATCGGAGTTCATGTATGTGGTACCTAATTTTCCTCACCTACGCGATAGTCAAATAGCTATCGAATACCAAGAACTTGTCCCCTTAGGCGCCACTCCGGTCAACAGATATGAGCAAGACTCAGATCGTGATCCGAGCCAACCATTCTGGCCTGAACCCCAAATCTACATCGGTGGAACCTTAGTCACACATACGAAAATCGAAACCAAAACAAGCACGAAACCTTTTCCAGAACCCAAAATATCGAGACGAGAAAATTCAAACGAGAAGGAATTACTTGCATTGGCTTTGGCCAGAACGCAAATGCTTTGGGAACAGCGCGAACGTGATGTACATGATGGTATCACTCCACCACACTCCGATCGATCTAGATCGCTCAACGAAGATGGTCTGATTCAAGAATCTATTTCGGGCCCAATCACGATCAGCCAAAACACAGATCTTTCAAATGGAACCTTTCCCCTTTCTAACGGAACCGTAATGCAAGAAGTCGATATATTGGATTGAGGAATACTGTCACTGATACATGAGGTGCACTAACATACATTCCGTCGTACTTGTTATATAATCATTGTATAAGAAGTTCATTCCAAGGATGGGCAAGTCTGTAGATATTCTTTTCCAAGAAAAGAGACATCACGTCATATTTTCTTCAGCGGAACATAACACTGTACATATACAGATTCGAATCTCGAACTATCGAGAGACCCGATAAGGTGAACACCCTTCACACCCGGTCCTAATCCGATTCCAAATCCAATCCCAATCATGCATCCAAACGATGTGAGAACGAAAGGAACGGTTCAAACATACTCATCATGATGTCCTTGAGTTAAAGACATCCCCGACTTCTCGTTGGAAGGGAGGACTGGGGAGGCAGAAGAGTCAAATACTTTGGCCGGCAAAGATACTTGACTCGGGTGAGGATAAATGTCATGTATAGATAGTAATGAGAAAAGTCATATAACTCCATCTAAAAAAAATTCTTTCATGAGCTTTGATTATTGCCACTTCAAACTTACTAGGTTGCGAAAGATGAAGTTGTAGAAGAGTTTTTGCATACCACTAGGTATGTATTGATCAACCAACTTCGCGCAAATTTTGAATGCGAAGTCTTCTGCAATCTGTATATTTTGACGGTACTATTACAAGGAGAGAGACACTGCATATCCAAATACACTCCCAAAGACGCACTTGCATCATCAAAAGAGAAGATTGGGGTATTGTTAACTCTTTGGATTACCACTTACTAGGTAGGAGCTATTCGTGCAAACTTTTGAACGAACGAACGAATGAATATTGAAATGTTTGAATAACAGAATTGCAATTTCATGATTGCATTGCATCGTTGTTATAACTAGAGAGTTAGATAGGTAGGTAGGTAGGTGCTACCTACCTACAACGAGATTGCAATGGCTTGTTTGAGAAGCTAGATAGATAGCTGAGAAGCAGAAATTGAATGAATAGATAGATGATGAATATGAAGGAAGCTGTCTGAAGAAAAAAAATGAAGAGAATCTACTGATCATAGATGATATAAGTATAGGAATACTGTGATAGAGTGTTTATGGTTGAGTGGTTGAATGTGTAGATGTACATAGGTATCCATTTAGGTAAGCTGTTAGGTGGTTGTTGTTAAAGTGGAGTGGAGTGGAGGGTGGGTAGGAAGTTGAAAATTGAAGATTGGAAGGGGTTCTCTAGACTAAGAGAGAGGATTTGGAAAAGAAAGAGGATGAAAGAGAGGGAGGGTGGCAAAGTGATAGGAGCAGAAGAAGAGCAGTTGCATGAAAAGATTAAGGGTATGAGGAGAACAGATGTCTAAAAAGAGCAGAGTGTAAATAGCGGGAGGTAAGAACTGATCATGAATGATGAAGGTAAGATTAATTAAAAGTGTAGCAAAAAGGGGGTGAAGATACAGGTAACAAGCGTATGATTAGCATTACAGAGGGCCATTCGGTCTACAGAATCCAGGGCTTGAATTCCAGATCTACTTATCCATTGTATGACAATTACCAACTGTAGAAGGCCGCATGTTCCATCCCGTCCTCCCAAGTGATTGATTTACATTATACTCGTACTCGTCCTGAGAATACCATCATCCCATCATCATCCTATGCCGCTGCAACTTATATTTTAGACTCTGTGACTGTGAACTAGGATCAACGCTCTACTATAGTCTGTTTATGGTTTGTAAACTTTGACATCGTGTTTCAGGACTTGGTGTGCGGTTTTCGTAACTGGCGGCTCCTTTTTCGCTTCGTGGTAGGTAGGATGAAGGGAATAGTGACCTCTCGAGTTGGTGGCTGTTCGCAGCTTATAAATGGGTAGGAACGTAGAAACTACATGGTAAACTAAAATACTAACAGTCTACTCAATTACATCTTAAACGCACTGAAAACAATACATACTTAGTAAAGAGAACATATATTTTGGCGAATCGACCCCATTCAGAAGTGGCATCTTCTCCTTCGAAGGACGCAATTAAACTACCACCAATTGGAAGTATCTTGGAAGGCCCGACAGGCTCATGCACTCTGCCACTAATCTTTCCCATTGTCGTTCGACCATCAACTTACACTCAACTACCCATTCGAAGTGAAGTCTTTCCTGTGAATCAAACTCTCATAGGGCTTCCTTTGGTTTTTGCTTCCGTTGAAGACAGCTGTAAACAACAGTCAACTATACCACAAAGCTGCATAATACGGAACGCCCAGGATATTCGAGATCGCAGTCCAGGTGAGGGGACACCGGGTACAAAGGCAGCCAAGAAGGATGGTCAGCATCTAGTCGAAACAGGATATCAGGACGAAAGTCTGAAGATTTGTGATGAACTTGAAGGTATCCAGGAGAGAATTTGCAGTATAATAGAGGAATACGAGCAATTGATGAAGGAGAAAAATCCATTGCGAGGACGTTCAGGAGATATAAAAGCGATGCCAGAGACGGCAAACGAAATGACAGCCAAAGAGGAAATGACAGAAGATCAAAAGTACGTTCCGCGTGCTGTTATGGGAAACCTAAAGCAAGATGAGACACTTAACTATGTCAGTAGCCTGAGTTCATCCGATGTTATAACAGAGATAGATTATGCGTACCTGAAACGAATCATCGGCGACGGGCAGGCGCACATTCTTCGCAGACACCTTCTACTGGCGGGGATAAATCAAATATGGGCACGCTCTAGAGGGTTATTAATGGTTGAAGCGTAAGATCAAAGACATCTGCGAGGTGAGACCTATGCAAAGGGATGGCTCCCGCCATTTACTACCCAAAGTGGGTTAGAGGTGTCTAGAGTTCAATACGAGATCTAAGGACCCCTGGCCTGGGCAGTTATGAGTTCGCGTGTGAGAAATTGTCGATTTATAATTTGATATTTCCGATTGCGATAGTTGATTCGAAAAGGCGTGGAATAGATTGTAATGTTGGATCTAAGTATATGTATATGTATATGTATATGCCAAATCCCCTTTGAAATCGTCCAAAGAAAAGCTGGACGAAGGGTTGTTGATTAAAGGAGTTGATGGGGACGCTGAGAGGGCTGCAACAGTTTGGACGTTCAGATGACAAAATATCAATACTGATCATGGGTATTCTGAGGATTCCGATGTAGGTAGGAGATAGTCATAACGGACTGGATACTCGACATATTTCTAAAGTATCAGTATCAGTATTGAGTAGGAGAAACTAGAAATAATATGACATGATCAGAAAAAGTTTTTAATGTTCTAGGTGTTACAAAAAAAGGGGACCGAAATTGAATGTGTAAGAAGAATTGGAGAGGAGGTCGGTAGATGTCGATTGTGCATTCCGATAAGAAAACAATGTAGCGCTACGTCACATGAAGGTCACCCCGCCTTCCGTATGAAGCGAGGGGCAAATAGTCAGCTATCTGTTCTACTATCAGTACCTAGGTAGCATTACTTGTACAATAAAACAAATCATATACATCAATCAATATTAGAGCTTTCCTTCACTTGTTTCTCTGTTTACTGAAATCTTTCTCACGCATATCCTATTTTATATCATATAGTTAAGAAGAATGAACAAAATGAATCAGGAATCTTGCTGCACTTGTGCGCGTCTACTTGTGCAGATAGAGAGGAATGAAGGGACGAACGGCCTACCTTCTTACTTGGAATCTACGCTGGGAAGCAATCCATCCCTCCAATCAACGAGAGGTGATTCGAGTTCTAATGAGAAAACGAAAGAAGAAGTCGTCTACTCAGAGAAGAGCCAGGCACATAATATAGAGAAGGAAACAGAAGACACACATTGGAAGGAGAAAGAAGGGAATTGTAGCAGAGAAAATAGAAGGTTATCATGTTGCGGACGCATTATCTGCGGGGAATGTATAGAGGGTAATGAGAGATTCGGGAGTTACTGTCCATTCTGTCAGGTCAGAAGTGCAGAAACGGTGGATAATTTGGCAGCAGCTTCCACGCCGTTGGATAAGCCGCCCTCTTACGAATCCCTTCATTCTTCCGAATCAAATTCACGAACTACGCCTCCTACTTACTCTCATACTCTAGACTCAAAATCAGAAGCCCAACCTCAGTCGCAGTCGAAAACCGAACCACAATTTGAAGATACCCTCCATTTCCTCTCGCACGCCACCGATTCCATGACTTCTCTATCCTTTCGCTATGGTGTCCCAATTGACGTGTTGCGAAAGAAAAATGGTATAACAAGTGATCACCTCCTTCTCGCTAGGAAAACAATATTGATACCTGGGGAATGGTATAAAGGGGGAGTGAGTTTGAGTCCGCGGCCTGTGGAGGGGGAGGAGGAAGAGAGGAGAAAGAGCTGCGTGAGGAGATTCATGGTTGGGTGTAAAGTTTCTGAGTGAGTTTGTGTTTTATATTGCTTGCGGGTCGGGAAATGGAGAAAGAGAAAAGGGCCACCGATTAAGTTTGGAGGGACACAAGATTCAAAGCCTCTCGGGTATAGGGGTTTCAATAGGAAGGGTTGAAGACATTAGACCGATCGAAGGCTAACATTGAATTTCTCGTTAGATACGACATTGCAGTCCTATACCTCGAACAAGCGAACTACGACCTAGAGCTCGCAATGGGAATATACAAAGATGACGAGAGATGGGAGAAAGAAAATCCTATATCGAATAAAGCAAAAGGAAAAGGGAAGTCGAGATATGATGTCGCGAAGAGAAGATTCACGGGACAGAGATCATGAGATTTTCGCCCACGCATTGCTGTATAATTGCGTGTTTTAAATTCCTCTTTATTTTGTATTTAACATAACATCATGGGATGGATGGAGTTCATGATACGGTGCACATCAAGCACCTTATAAAATATACAGCGCCGTCTGGTACAAGCCCCTATCCCAAATTACGCCAAATTAGTATGCCGATCGTGTCCGAATGTCCTAGAATTATTATTAGCCTTGTGACATCCAAGAAAGATAAATAGGGGTAATTACCGAAATTTTTCTCTCAATCTCCCTAACCGAGCGGTCCAACTCTCCTGCAATCATTTGTTTCTTGTCCGTTGGCAAGAGGGTATATCTTTCGCATAAATCTCCATCAATGACGCCCTTTACTGGCACATAATAACTTCGGTATATCAAGTGATCTCTTCCAGCCAAAGGCGAGTCTTCCGATCTAAGATGTTGTTCCAATGTCTGGAAGAAATCTACATCTTCTCGGCTGACAAATGGTATCAAGATACCAAGTGTGCCTTGAAGACCACTCCACAGTAAGCAATCTCTACCTCCGGCAACGAGGTTTGTCTTTTGGATGCTCATGGGAATATCCTGGGAAAAGTTATGCGCCATCAATGTTAATCGATGAGGAGCTCCAGCCAGATATTGACGTTCGTGTAGAAGATGAGCACCAGAACCTTCTTCATCCGCTTCTTCACTGGCTTTAGCGGGGCAACGAAGAAGCCAAAGGTTGCCGAATTTGTCCCCTCCTGCGACAGTCTCATAATCTACCATGGTAGTACACGATGTCCATCTTGCGATAGTATCATCCACGAATGGGATGAGTCTGTTCTCTTGGAATTTGTACACGACCATAGTGATACTCTCCTGGACATCACTGACAATGATACGACTGCCTTGGGTTTGTAATCCAACAATCATATTAGGCGCAACTTCAGATTGTGCTTTCCGTAAGAGTTGTCGCATTCCGAGGTCGTAAATACGTAGATCTTTCCCGACTCCAGCCAATAGTCTACCTTGGAAAGCAAGTAGTGCCATAGGTGGTTCCTCAACTTTCGTTTTGTGTATGAATTCCAGCTCTTTACCGTCTTCATGGAAGCGGTATACGTGAATAAAACCTGCAGAGAACGATCTTGGGCTAACCACCAAATCTTTACCAGTTCCGACACACAAGAATGTCTCATCTTCTTGACTAGCGAAAGCAACAACAGCGATGCTGACTGCACATTCATTGTCCTCGAGGTGAATTGTAGACAAAATTTTCTTTTCGGTCACAGGATCGACGACAGAGATGCAAGACGCCCAGTGGTTTGTTCCTCTTGGGTAACCAAACTCCTCAGGGGGAAGTACTGTGGCATCGCCATTTGTAACAGAAGGATCCTCGAGCAACTTCTGTTTTGTGGCTGGAGAAAGTATATTATTGTCTGCTTCAATGACATAGAAACAAGGATGTTCGGGATGCCGGACGAAACGACGAGGAGTATAAGTTAAAGGAATGGATTCTTGCAAAAGGTTGTCGGTGAGTTTCTCGATAGAAAATATTCTATGGTGAATTAGCCACTGCTCCACAATAAGTGTAAAATTTTGAATGTTTGAGTGGTATTAAATATATCAGAAGGAACAATTGGAATTATAATGTTACATCCTCATAGTCATGGACGACATAAGAAGTTTAACGATAAGAAAATCATCATAGTATATGGTACTTGGTGCTTTTGAAACTATAACAATTGTATGAACGTACCTTAGATTTTGTCCTTGAATTCCCACCATTCCTTCAGTACACTGCTCACTACTGAAATTCCAGCCCCATTCCAAAGCTGGATAGTTCAGTGGGGTGAGCATAAACCCTTTGGTGACGGGATCGGAATATCCGAGCCATGGTCTAGAACTGAGTGCAAGCACTGCAGTCTGACCTTGGACGGCTACTCTGAAAAGCTTGACAGGCTTTGGCCCAAGGAAACGTGTTCGTGTGTCAGAGAGCTCTCCAGTCACTTCATCTAAAACGGTACGTAGATAGACACCAGAGTAGAGTCCGATATGAAGGTATAGAGTTGAGCCGCCAGATGATGAGTCCGACATAGCCATAATGGAAAGGGCATTTGGAGGAGAAGTCAAAGCTTGAACCGACTTGTTCTCAAGTGTTGATTCGGGATCCAGACTCAGAATACGTACTGTTGAGTCATCGCAACCAACAGCTAAGAATTGACTTCTTTGACGTCCTTCTGGAACTTCACCAAGACTCAAACAGGTAACCGTACCGCTCATCTCTTTCTTTTCGTCATATTCAGCGAGAGATCCATCTGAATCCATCTCAAAATAGACAATCTCTCCTGAACTTAGTGCTACAGCAACTTGTCGTTCATTTGTAGTAGCTGCAACGATAGAACGATGCTGAGGAGCGGCCCACTCATTCACACGACGATCGGCGCGAATGTGTCGAATACCTTTAGGGTGCACCTGAATTAAAGAATCCTCGCCAAGTTGCTGTACAGCTAGTGTTGGCGCCGATGATAAAAATCCGGTATCGGTCACCTCTTCTACAGTTTCACCGATGCTGAGAACCAAGGTACCGTTGGAGAAAGAGAGAATGATGTAAGCATCATAGGTATCACCTCTAGTAAGCTTTGTCGTCCAGACTGCAGATGGCACACCAGGCAGTTCGGATTCGACGATTTCACTTACTTCTAAGCCATGTTTCAGGGTTCTGAAAGTACTTCGAGCGCCGGTACCACAAATGGAATAGATCTGTGGTGCATCCTCGTCGGTGAGATTGGCGACTTTACAGTCCATCAACGGATTCATCGAGTCGATACTTTCGACCAGGCTTAGATTCTCAGCTGGTCGTGGATGGAAATATATGGGCGTGTATGATTCATGAGCTCCAGTTGGGAAATCATCGCTAACAAATTCTGTTTCTTCATCGTCATCACCAAGCTTCTCAAATTGGTAGAACTGATGGTTGCCGAACTCGCTTGCAACAAAAAGAAATCCACTTTTGAGGATACAGAGACTTGCCGCAACAGGGACGGTATCAAAGTACTTAATTTTGAGACGTCTGACCTCGCCAGTTGGTTGCCCATTATCGTCTTCAACCATCTCGATGGTTATCTTGAAAAGATCACCATCATCTGTCTGTAGTAAGAAGAAGAAAGCTCCTGCAGCACCCTTAAGTTTATGCATAACTCCTGCTACAATGTTTCTTTTTCTTTGTGGATCTTCCGTTGCACCACGGCGGCGAGGGATAGCAACGCGGAACGCTTCTTGATTAGAGTGCCTGTAGGTGATATTGTCCTCTCCACAAACTAAAACACCACTAGGTCCATCCGTTCCTCCAGGCACCTGGAAAAGTATGTTCGCCGTTCGATCGACAGGCTCCGACCATTTTCTCACCACATGATTCAAGCCCAGGTCAAGTTCGTAATAGACAAGCTGTTTCTCAATCTCGTCATAGGCTTGACCTGTGGGATCCTGATCCGACTCTCCATAATCAACCTCGAGAGCCGCAAACACCGGATTTGCGTATCCCACATCCAATGCTACCAATGCAAATACTAAAGTTTGTGCTTTATGGGCTTCCAAGGGGGATGATATAGTAAGTTCCGCTTGAGAATTGCGATTCAAGACATATACAAGCTTGTTCTTCTCCACCGATGCAGTTAAACAAGCTCTGCCTTTCGGGTCCACAGCCAAGTATTGCCCTGGAACTACTCTTCGAACGCCTGATTTGCCAAAAGTCTCGAGATGTAGGCGATTGAATTTGTTTTGTGCGGGGACGAACTCGACGATTGTTATACGGCCAGAATCGGATGTGATGATGATATAATCTGCGATTATTTATTTTAGCTTAGCTCTCAATTATGACCGAGTTTCTATAACACTCGACCCCATAGGCTATTCATATCGGTATGATTCGTGCTGCCATCGATGCTTCAAATCACTAAGTGAAGCTCAAGTGGGATGAGATGAAGGACTTACCCTTATTGCTACCAGCCAATCTGAAAGCTGCAATAGCTCTTATTATACCAAAGACATCGTGTGAAAGTGCTGTGATAATCTTTCCCTGCGATGGATCTGGTCTATGGAGAGTGAGACGCGAACCAGAGGCAGTCACAATCTGCTGTTCTTTCGTGCCAGCAAACTGTCCGAGTATTGCTTGGGTGATGGCGGTGGGAGGATTGATGGTCAAGCTGTACAAGAATTGGTTTGATGTGGTAGCCATGTTTGGACAGCGGCGCAGAAAGTCTGCGCAGCTTCAGGTAAGATTATTCACTTTGCGCGAAAATGCAGAGATGGTATCATTTGTAAGAGTTCGACAAGTAGCTTGTCGCAAAGCTTTGGGTGTTCGAGGTTGTTTTCTTGAATCTACAAATATTCACGAGCTAAAAGAATCCATGCCGCTTTAATAAAGAATACGCGACCACTTATCATAGAAATCACCTCATGTATCAAATTTCTTATACACAGCTTGTAGAGCACTTTTACTTCTTCAATTTTTTTTTAAAGAAGCTTGGCAGTGCTTGAAATCATGCGTCCTTCAACTTCATATACTTGCCGGCAGTGCTTACATGCGCTCAGAAAAACGCCTAGGTCAATCGGCTTGGGCAATAGAACCATCACTTCTGGTAATAGTAGAAGCACCAAGCTCTCTACGAATTTGCCATCGGGGAATCAATTGGCGCAAAAGGACTTGGGCCGTCGGGCAATATCATTTGGACAAGGGCAGGTAGCAAGAAATGAGTCTCCGCAGTATAGAACTCCAAGTGGCTTGGAATCAACCCCGCCTCCAGAGGTTGAAGGACGAGCTCTCTTGAAGCCGAACAACCTCTTTCACTCGTTCTCGAATTCGCCATCCCCCGAAATTAGAAGACGAGCAGCTTTCATGAAGCAGAACGCCTATTGCCCACATCCGGATCATCACCAGACTCGATTGCCAACAAATCCAGACGATCCCGAAGCACGAAAATCTGCTACAGGTGCGCTACCACCAGCCCACGTGGATTTCGAATGCCCAGATTGCGGAATACCTGTGTCATGCTCAGAAGAGCATTGGGCTGATGATTATGAGGCACATTTGGAAATTTGTGATACTCTGCGGGAGATAAATGAGGATGATCATGATCTACGTTCTGGCAGGTTCTTTCCAGAATTCGAGTACCCTGGTGATCAGATTGAAGAAGCAATGGTTAATATGACAAATTGGGATACTCTATTGTTTTCGAGAGAGTTTAAGGCCATCAATGACGAAAGAAGTTTACGACAAGCGACTAGGTTGTTGACGTACCCTCTTACGATTGGAAGCGTGCTGCATGAATTGAGTCCTTACAATATCAAGAAGGGCGGAAGACTGACTGTCGAAGGTCTCAAAAGTTTGAGTGGTATGTTGGACCTCTAAATCTCTCTGAATATTAGTGGCTAATAAAATCAGCTCTTCGTTATAACCTACATCCTGCACGAACCGGTGGTGGATCTGAGATCAAGAATCTTAGACCAACCCCGCCACCAGTGAGAATCTTTATTCTAGGAGCTCGTGCAGAATCTTCGTTACCAAGAGAAGTTTGGGTGCAATTAGCACATCTATTTCCTCGAGTCACATTCCACTTGATCTTCATCGGACCTGAAAGTATGGCGAACAGAGATGCTGAATTTCCTTTACCTGAGAGAACTCCGGGAAATCCTTTTGGCTCAATTGTTGAGGATCGTATCACAAACTCCTTGAAGATTAGCACTTTTGTGGAGTATTATCACACCCTCCACAAAGCTGGTCACTTTTATCCCTATGATCCTTACTTTGATTGCTTCATGCTTTTCCATCCTGGTTTAGGACATCCAGCCAGTTCTCACGAGTGGGCGGAAACCATCCCACAACTTTTAGAGACCAAAGTGCCAATCTTGGTTACCGGATATACACAATACGATATGGATCGAGATATTGATTGGGTCAAGAAGACTGTAGGCGGGGAAATGGACATGTTGATGGAACCAGGAGAGAATCGCTTCCGAAGTCTGAGATGGGATCTGAATGACATGGACCCTCAAGACGTTAGCTGCGGTAACTGGGGTGTTTGGGCATTCAGAGGAAAGAGGTATGTTGTCACCTTAATTGAGAACAACAACTTAAACATTACTCGATACTGATAATCTATAGGTACGAAACTACAAGGGGCAAAGAGGATTGATTTACTATGGTATAGATCATAGTCACGAATATGATGTTCGATGTATCGGACGGACTGTTCGCTGTGTATTAATTCCCAACAATGATGTATAAATGTATCCCCATCCTATCCGCATTGATCTTGACTGTACCATGAAGAATTATTGAATGTATTAAATGACACAAAGACATCAAGTCCCATTTCCTGCTGATAAAGTCAAATGAAACATTCCTCTTTGATATAACATTGTCCCAAGTTTATCTACAAAAACTCCGGAACTCCTCCAAACGCGCCCCTTTCTTTATCTTATCGCAGCCGAGGAGCGGAGAAAGGCCCAGGTACATATTGAATTTCCTCCACAAAACGTCATCGTGAAAAAACAACGTAGAACTTCCAGTCCTTGCATCTGAAAGTATAATATTTTTTTACAAATTCAGATTTTTATTTTAAAATGTCTTCAAAACCTACACGTTCGTTGACAACCATCTACGTTACCCGCCACGGCGTAAGTTCTCTCTCATAGTTTGTGTTTTATCCATACTGACCGACTTTCCCAAGTTTCGTTCAAATTGGATTGTCGACCCTGCAACAGGTACATATACCGCCAATATCCCCACTCCTACCGGTATACCTAGCGATCCCGCGCTCGCAGGATATGGCGAAGCGCAAGCCGCAGAACTTGGTCTCCATCTAAGTACCCTTTCTCCACCCATCGAGCGAATCTACTCCTCTCCCTTCTACCGCTGCATTCAAACGATATCTCCTCTCATTCCCCATCTCTCTTCCCGCACAAGTGACCCAGCGTCTCTTAAAATTCGCGGTGAGAACGGCTTGGGTGAATGGTACGGTACTGCCCGATTCGATCATCCTAGTCCTGCTACGCCGGAATTATTACATTCTTTATTCCCTACATTTGATAAAGAATATGTGCCGAAAATTCGACCAAGTGTTAATGGAGAGAGTATAGAGACTTTGCATGATAGGACGGCATATGCGTTACATAGAGTTATAGAAGATGCGGACAGAGAGGGTGTTAAGGCTATAGTCATATGCACACATGCGGCGACTTTAATAGCGATTGGCAGATGTTTGACGGGGAGAATGCCAGAGGATGTTGGTGAGGAGGATTTCAGACCGTTTACTTGTGGACTGAGCGTCTTTGAGAGAAAGGAGAGTGGAGATGAGGTGGAAAAGGATGTGGATATGTGGAAAGGTCCAGAAGAAGAGATTCCTGAAGTGGGATGGAGAAATGGTAATGGTGTTGGAGGTGGATGGGAAATCAAGAAGAATGGTGATTGTAGCTTCTTAAGTGGAGGAGAAGAACGAGGATGGTAAGTTACTCGATAATGATTTTGAAGTGAGACTGCAGAATGATGTATACTAACTTTTCATAGGCGTTTCTCTGGAGATGAATCGTTCTCTACAACTCCAGCTCTGCCAGCCCTAGATGCTGGATCTGCGCTTGGTGTTGTTATTGAAGGAAATAAACCAGGAAATACTTCTGAGCCATCTAGATTGTAATGATTGATGCGCTGTAGGGCGAATTATTTTGGATGGTCACAACTTTAGATGCAATCCTGGATATGTTTTAGACCTGTCTTTGGATATGGAGAACGATACCCGAACAACGTGGTGGATAGATTGGTATATAGGAAGACTATAGATAGCATGATATCCTAGACGCCAGAAATAATGCATTAATCTCTTCTAATTACATTTGGCAATTTATCTAAGCCTGTATGATGCAAAATCACAATGTAGTGTATATCTATAACTCCCCCTCTAAAAACAACTCGTGTAACATATTCATGTATCATATCTAATATCCTGCAGGCTCTTTAATCTTGGGGAAAGCCGGTGCATCTAGATTGCTTAAGCAATCCTTCTTCCAGTGAGCAGGAGTGAACTTGTCGACTATGTTCTTGAATTCCGCCTAGAAACAATTAGTCAAATGTCGGATGGGGATTTTGGAGGGGGAATGAAATACCAATGTACAGAATGACTGGTCGCCATCGAGATGTTTGCCTTGTGGCCTACACCCAGGAACTGTCACAACTTCATCATTATAACGAATTCTAACATAATATCCATCTAGCTTGGATCTCTCCGTTTCTGAGAGGTCACTAAGCTTCTTCCTTGCAATACCGATGGGGCCTGCTTCAGTTTTCTTGCCCAATCCAAATATTGAAAGCAGTCCTTTTCCTGTACCAGTACTGTTGCTGGGGAGCTCATACTTGGGTTCTCCAAGCGAGGGTTGCTTTTTACGAAACATCTCTAAAGCAATATGAGACGTATAAGGTGGCCAAGGCCGATCGTCGAATGCCCCGAGGCTAGTAAGAACGGCAGCGAGAGTTGTATCATGGCAACCACTTAAGCCCATCTTGATAGCTCTCTCCCCTCCTCTTCCAATGCCAGTCGAACCATTCTCACCGCCAGTTTCAAACAAGCCATCTTGCCCGTTATGCTCAACACTTCCAACCATTCTCTCGACTAAATCGCCCATGAGTCCACCAATACCAAGAGAGCGATATTCTTCTGACTCGTTATATCCAGTAAACCATTCCTCAACCCCTATTTTCTCTATGATAGCCCGACCTCTTTGATCGTAGAATTCTTTGGGTAATCTGGTTTCAGGACCATGGGCTAGGGTGGAATTAATGGTGTCCATAATACCGGAAAGTCTGGGGTGAGAATCGACGGCTACTCTTTTACTCGAATCCGGCATCCACTTGCCAATAAGGAAGTTTAAATATTCCATTTCGTCTGTTTCGTTCCAACGATCAGCGGTTCGCTGTGCGAAAGCTCTGGATAATTGAGCAAATCTTCTGCAACCACTATCATTTGGGAATAAAGTCTCATCTAGGGAATTGGCGGTTAGCATGAAGCTCAAGGTCTGAGAGTATGCAGCACATACCAGAAGGCGAGCGTGTGATTATAGTTGGCGGTGGGCAAGCTGCAGCGCGGGCATAGGGCGGATACATGCCGAAGAAAGCTTCCTGCATTGATTCCAGAGCTCTTGGGATTGGCGTCGCGCGGAGGTACAAGAAATCGGTATTGTGTATCATCTGAGGGAGGAATCCCAATTGGTCAATGTAAAGTCTTCGAAGTCGAGTTCCCAACTGTGAAGTCGTTTCTCTCCCCTTGTCTGTCAATTCACCCAGATTGCAAACATCATCCACTTCTCCTCGAGGTCCTCGTGCAATGATAGGGCCATCATCATTGCCGAATGTTTCCAGGCGACGTCTCCATTGCAGAGGAGTCCAATCTGATGAATTGGCTTCCATTGTAGCGCTCACCATTCGCCGAGCTGCTGAGCAATACGGCCAGTAAGGTTGTAGTCCAGCATTCTGAAATCTCGCAGAAACGGGACTTCGTTCGCCATGTCGCATTAGAACCTGAACAAGTTGGAGTTGTAGCTCATCGGGGTATAACTTTTTGAGCTCCTCTTGCGAGTATGGACCGCGGGGCTGTAGTGTAGTCATTGCAGTACCTTCCTGATGTATTTTAACTGAATATATATTTCCGTATTGTAATTGTAGAGTTGAGTTGATAACCTCCAACTCCTTTTCCTACGCCCCAAAAAGCATGGGATTGTATCAAGCTTTAGATATGACATGATTGACATAGTACCTACTATGCTTAAAGCCAAGTCCGGGATAGTTTCGGGTACCTAGCTTAGTAAATCGTCATCAACCAATGGATAGTGGATGATGTCGTGCCATCGGCATTTAAGTTTCCGACCTGTCAAAGGTTTCCATGGAAGTTTAATAAATTTATAATATTGTTGAAATGCGATTCATGTGTACCAGCTTTCGATCAGTTCACAACCCCTCATATTTGCTGCCGTGAGCTAGTTGATATGAGCTCTCCTTATGTTTGCATGACATGTCGACAAGCTCTCAGTCATTTACGTCGAAACAAATCCTTCCAATGGCACTCGAAAGCTACATTTAACTCTCTAATTAGTACCCCTCAAAGCTCCACGAGCGAGCAATATAAAGAGGATCATGCGGAATCGACGAGAGGTTTCCAAGGCGGGGAAACGAGGAATAAACCAAAACTACCACGAAGACCACAGGCTACTCGCCATGCGACCAGCGAGCCAGCAGATGCATTGGAGTCAATGTTTGAAGATACCCTTAAGCAACAATCGATTCGACAACCGACTCGTACATCAGAGCTTTCCCAGAGGACATCATCGACCGTGAAGGCTTATCAAGATGGAGAGAAGTTGAAGGAAATGCTCCGGGAGGAACACCCCCTTAATGATTGCTGGTCCTTTTTCGTGGAACATTTTGGGCCTACCGCTTGGAAAAATGGTACAATTAGTCGAAATTCATGGCCTGTCTACCTCAAGTCTACAGTACCAAAAATGCTGAGGCTCATAAGAGAGCAGAGAAAGGAGCAGCCTCTTCGCAATGATGTGCCTACTTTTTCAGAAATGATATTGGTCACGCTTGAGTTGGGTTTACTGCGCGGCACTCAATGGGTACAAATGATAACCACATTGATTGACAGCATTTTAGTAGCCGGTGTTACAACGGCAGAGGGACAGACACTACTTTCTGAGCTTCTCAAAAGTTGGAATATCGTCTGTCGTCGTCGGCCTCGACGACTTCAAAGCCAAGAATTAATCAATAAATCAGATCCCGAAATCAGACCTTCTTGTTCTGACTGGTCAAATCTTCCTAATCATTCTTTGCATAGCATCTTTCTGGAAAAACGCCAAAATGGGACTCAACATGCATTTAGTCTTCTCACTCCACAATTTTCCCCAGGTGAGATGTATCAATTGCCTACAATCGCACTGGGAACACTTAAGCTTCTCCTTGAACTTGATAAGACTGGAACTGGCGCAATTACCATGGTGGAAGATGCGAGGCCACTCATGTTAAAGTTCTCGAATATTGTCAACGCATGTTCGATGACTCTGATTGATGCCGCCGAGTTCTTCCGAGATGTGCCGGAATCTGTGGTCAGTCTAGTCAAAGATAATTGGTCTACCATCAAGGAGTTCACCGAGAAGCAGAATGTTAGGAAGGATTTCAAAGTGACGGAAAATATGCGAACGCAAGTTTTACACAAGAAAGTAATTGATGCGCATGCTAGACGAGACGTCGCTTCACTAGATCGACTGTGGTCCCAAGCGCAACAACTTCCAATCTATATCCCAACTGCCAAAGATGGTTTCGAATCTGGGTATCGAACCGGTTATCTCACTCCTGCTTTTTACAACCTGTTCATTTTGTTATTCATGAATCTCAAACAACAACCTCGAGCCATTGAAGTTTGGAATCACATGATCAAGAACAATCTTACTCCAAACCTTGGTGCCTGGGATGCCATGTTGAATGGCTGCAAAAATTCCCGCGATGCCAAAGGCCTTGAGCAAGTTTGGGCCATGATGATATCATCTGGAGAAAAGCCAGATGTAACCTGTTGGACTACCAGAATCAGTGGTCTTATTCACTGTTATCAGCCAGAAGCTGGTATTCGCGCATTGGATGAGATGGGTCGCTTATGGTTAGCGGCAGCACGGAAAAAATATCCTAACCTCAAGATCTCAAATTCGAAAAACGTGAAGGATATCCCGGGGGCTGTCAGACCTACTATTGCAACGATTAATGCCGCAGTCTCTGGTCTTATAAAAAGACAAGAAATTAAAGCGGCTGATCGTATCCTCGCTTGGGCAGATCAATGGGGTATCATTCCAGACGTTCAAACATATAACACACTTCTTTCGTCGATAGTCCGAGCTGGTCATCCAGATAAAACTCCAGAGATTTTGACTTCTATGGAAGGTCACGGTGTCCAAGCAGATGCTGCCACTTTCGTCACAATCCTGGATCAAACATTCGCAGACATAGAAACGCTTAGTCCCACAGAGCAAATTGAAGCTATAAACAACACCTTCCTCGCCATGGAACATATGAAGGTCACACCAAACCAGTTCTTGTACGGTAAAATGATCTATCTCCTCCTCCGAGGCGTCCCCACAGACATCACTCCCGTGTCAGAAGTCATGAATCGAATGGCAGCCCAAGGGCTAACCCCTTCAACATACATCTACACCATTCTCCTCGAATACTATTTCGCTCAATCACCGCCCAACTTCCAAGCCGCGACTACTCTGATCGAACGTGCGCAACTCACGGTCGGAACCGTAGACCACATCTTCTGGGATCGATTGATCGAGGGGTATGCAAGCGTAGGGGATACCGACACGGCGATTTCATATCTGAGAAATGTGCAGAAGAGTAAACAGTTCACGTCGTGGAATACCATGCGCACTTTGTTGATGGCGCTCGTGGAGAAGGATGAGTGGGATGTTGCGACCGAGTTGGTTCACAATGCGGTGAAGGATACAGGGGGGCCGATTGGGGCTGAGGTGAAGGGTGTGGAGGGTCAACATAAGTTTTGGGAATTGGTGAGGGAATTGAGAATTTTGGATTGAGGATATGGGGTTGAGGGTTGAGGGTTGAGAGGGGTGTGTGAGGGGTGTCGAAAGAATGAGAGTTATAGAAGTTGAAGTAGAAATGTTCACTCGAATCCTAAAAGTTTATAGATTTTTTTTTGTTCGATATCCTATCCCTACGCTAATGAATGTGTGTAGAGTAGAATGAATATATTCATTTATCTATTTATAGTATTCATGTACCTATCTACCTACCCAGCTATATACCTATATAGACACATTATCAAAGATAAATGTATACCATGAGACATATCAAATCCAAAATCCAAAATGTAATAAATACCTACATTAATATAAAATCCAAACTAGATAAAGAAAGTAAAAAAGAAAAAATGAAGTAAATAAATTAATAAATCAATAAGTGTTAGTTCGAGAAGGATACGAAAGACGTAGTACCCACGTATTATAGGTCCTGTATGTCTAATTGTATTCTATCTAAAGAGCTAGCTATGTAGGAAAGTAGTAGGCCTTATATAGGCACTACTGAAAGAGCTAGTCTCTTTCGCATTCGCTTAATCCCTTTGATACAGTAGCCATTGTATTGAAGTTATTCCTTTGAAGTGAATACTCTTGTTTACACAATAAGAATAATCTATTTATTTATTTTTTTATTTTTTTATTTATTTATTTATTTATTTATTTATTTATTTATTTATTTATTCATTTATTTATTTATTTATTTATTTATTTATTTATTTATTTATTCATTTATTTATTTATTTATTTATTTATTTATTTATTTATTTTAATTTATTTAGTATTTGAATTTGGAATTTTGAAGGATGGGGGATGAAGGAAAGAAAAGAGAAAAAGAGAAGAAGAGAAGGAGAGAAGAAGATATAGAATTCCTTTTAACTTTTCTTTATTTTCTTCTTATATTCTCATCTTCTTATACTCTCACTCATATCAAATACATTTAAAGCTTCACTAGCTATATCATATATACTATACTATATCATATCGTATCATATCATATTCATATTTATCTCTATCTCCAATGATCCTATCTAAATCTCCTATTTCCCAATACCAAATCATCACAGTCACAATCACAACAACAAAAGCTTTCATTCGAAACAATCTATTACAAAAAGACATCCACACAAAATAAACACAAAGAAAGAAAAATCCATCTTCTGATATCCAGAGTCATCTCATTTCATCCTATCTCATCTCAAATAATCCATCAGACCCGTGCAAGCAAGCCATGAAATAAATAAACATGAGGTCATGAGCTCCACGCCTCCTAAAAACGATGAGAAGAAGAGTCATTCCCATTTTCATTCGCATCGCATTCACATTCCCATAACTATTTCCGTATCCGAACCCCTGTACATTTTCCATCTAGACATCATACCAGATGTCTAGCCAAACCCCAAACCAAGACAAAAACGCATAACATCTACCGAGCCGTTCCCAAAATCATGACTCCAACCGTATAATTGCTCTGCAATCTTCGTTTTATATCCCATCATATGTACCGTATCTCATTTTCATATATCCATACTCCAACCTTTCTCAATATGGATAATCACATCATAGCACACGCACTACTTCTCGCCCTCCTTCTTCTTCCCACGCCCCCACCAGCAGCCACTCCACCCTCTTCTTCATCAGCATGCATCATCTGTGCTTCTCTTGCTCTCCTTCTCCTTCTCCTAATCCCAGCCCCACCGGCACCAGCCTCTTCATTCGCCATCATATATTCTGTCCATTTCCTCTCTAATCTTCCTGCCGCCGAAAGATCTCCCCTCAAAACTCTCTTCGTGTGTTCATCCACTGTCAATTGCCAACCATAGAAGCACTTGAGCGTAATGATTTCTGTGGGAAATGAGTATCGATGCAGATTATCATGATCAACCGGCTTCGTAATCTCCGAGTTTCGCGAAAGAACTTCACGAATTCCGGTCCATGTAACATTCGAACAATCGAATACTACCATGCGAAGACCAGGACAAGGACGTGATAATGGATTTGTTGTACGTGAGGATCGGAGTCGAACCATAGTTGCAGCTTCGGCAAGGATTAGATCGCTGATTCTCGTATTGTCCATGTCGATATTTTGAAGACCAGTACAAGTACGGATAACGGGGAGCATACCCGTGTCACCCAAGTTCTCGCAATAGCTGACAGAGAGATGTTGAAGGGTGGTAGCGCAAGGTGCCTTGGCGAGATGATTGGATAATAAATCGTTGCTAAGTTCACTGAGGTCTTCCAAGTCGAGATGTGTCAAATTTGGACAGGTAGCTAGAATATTTTCGAGTGCTTTGTCTGTCAAGGTAACACATCCACTCAATTGTAGACCTTCCAAGTCTGGACAAACATAGGCAAGTGATTTCACACCTTCATCCGTCAACCTGTTACAGCGGCTCAAATCCAGATGTCGAAGTTTCCGTTGCGGGACCAACGGTGCATAACTGAAAGCGTCGAGTTCTGGATCATGCCCATGCATCATTATTTGAAGAGCTTTATCAGTAATATTTATACAGCCACTCAGGACCAGTCGCTCCAATCTGTTAGTCTCGAATATTAGCAGCGCCAAATCCTCATTGTCGAGGCCTCTAACTTCTCCAGCACGGAGATCCATCAAATTTGGACAACCTCGAATGACTAGCTGTAGACCAAGCGCATCCATATGAGTACACCATGAAACATTGAACGTCTGGAGATGCGGACAGGATTGTGCTATGATCTTGCACGTTGCGTTTGTGACAGCTGACAATCCAGTAAGATTAAGGTTGGTCAATCTTCCGTTGGTCTTCAAAAGATTGTGTAAAGTTGCTTTTTGAAAGTTTCGACATCCTTCAAGTGTCGCATTGATAAGATTCTTGCAAGCTTTCACTATCACCTCCGCACGCTTGTAGTGCTCGACTTGTACGCAACCTCGGAGGTTAAGATCTTTGATGAAGGGACCAGCCGATACAATAATCTTTGCCAAAGATTCAGCGGGAATGTCGGCATAGAATTCCGAGGCATCGAAGCATGTCCAGAGCTGTCCATCGAAACAAGTTTTGTAGAAATCTTGACAAGTGTTGGAAGCTCGTACCAATTCCTTTGGTTTCAGGAATGCAAAAATGTGTAGCTTAACCTCGTGTGGCATTTTGTCCCAAAATTTAAAGTTGCTCTTCTTAAGAGGTTTAGATTTTACGGTCATCGGTTGTGAAAAATAATCCTCGACGATTTCATGATCTGGAGATGAAGTCGAAGGTTCTCCTGCCTCTGCGATGGTCAGTTGCTGTAAGTCTTGCATCAGTGTTGATGCACCAGCCATCGCTTCGTTCTCGTTGCGCTGAATAGCAATGTGACGATACATTGGATCATAATATGGCGTATCAAGACCAGGAGTAACTGGAGTCGAATCTGCTTCTGAGCTCACTCCTGAACTTGGCCCCGAGACTGGTGCTGTGGACGAAGTTCCTTCTGTTGATTGGGCGGGAGGGTTCTCCGAGATGGGAGGAGCGAAACTTAGACAGGAAAGTGTTGACCTGCTCCCATATGGACTACTTTTCGCTCGTTTCCGACTAAACTGTGCGAGTGTAGGCGATGAAGCTATTCTTTGAAGCCATTTGCCTTTGGACTTGACAGGTCTTTCATCGTTCATGACTGGTGTTGAACTTCCGACTGGGGTTGAGAACCCCGCCATTGTGTTGGCCATTTGATTGTCGAGTTTGATTTGAAAGTATGAGATAATCTCCTTGTTCCAGGAATTCGATATCGATTGTGTTTTGGAAAGGAGGCAAGTGATCAAAGTGTAGCCAAAGACTGGCTGACGATGAAATTTGGGAGGGTCCTTGATTTCAATTCACCAATGTCTTACATCCGGGTTGATCAAATCCCAAGGTAAACAAGGCTCAAGTGTAAAGTAATCCCGTTTATCGATTGCGAAATGTATGCGAATCGAAGACGCAATAGTTATTCCGGGAGACAATGGAAATTATTAACTCCTTTCCTTTGTTCTTTTGATAAGACCGACCAGCGATTGTTATATGTTCCTCGGCTCGTGCAACGTAAAGTGGGAGATGGAAGTTTGAGGCGGAGAGATCGATAGGAGTAGAATAGTAGGAGAAGATCTGTGAATCTGCTATCTTGAAGAATTAATGGCACAATTCACAAATGAATCAATCATGTATGCACATGCACATGCATATGAAATATGACAATAGGTAGTATCCAAAGACACTCACCACCGAGAAAAAAAGGATGGATGCAATGTGAATGATAAATATCTCGGAATACCCAAAGCGGTATCGAATATCGATCACTTTCCAAGTCCTTATCGTAAAGCCTCCTTATCGGCTCAATTGGGCTCTGCACATGAACAAGCTTCGTGATTCGAGATAATGATCAGATGTTCAAAATGGCAAGCATGAGACAAGATTTGATTATGAAGAGTGTGGTGAGGTGAGAGAGAGTGAGAGAGATTGGAGATAAGGAGTAGAAGAATTGCCCTACAATGAAAGGGGCGAGAGAGGAAAGAGGTGAGAGGTGAGAGGGGAGAAGAGATAGGAAAGAGGTGAGAAGTGAGAGGTGAGACTGTGAGAGGTTATTGAATAAACAAGCCAGTCCAGTCCAGTCCAGTCCAGTCAAATCCAATTCAATCCAATCCAATCCAATCCAATCCAATCCAATCCAATCCAGACAGGCGGAGTACCGACCGATGTACGGCGACTACGAGTTTTAGACTCTTCGAGGGTGGACACTGGGACTGGGGCATCGATTTTCCAGTTTCCAAACAAACACTGAAAGGCGATAGGTTGAGAATTCACAAATGCACGTAAAGACAGTGCTGAGTGGAACTAATAAATGAAAGAGTTTGGGAGGCTGGAACGATGGGACGATGGGTTCACCAGTTACATTATTTATTTGCTATGAGAAACATCCATTCTTGCCCCATACATACATGATATACATCCACAAACACGCACGCAAGCAAGTAAGCAGCAAGTAAGCAGCAAGTAAGTAGCAAGTAAGCAAGCACAAATAAGTGATTTACAATATGAAAGAAATGCTATAATTTTTTCACAACTGATTGAAGGCAGTGTATCTTTTACAAACGCATTATCGTATATTCAAATTGAATTGACTTGACTTTATTTATGCTTGTAGGAGGCTAACATGTAGCAATATAATATAATAGTCTTCATCATCCAGAAAGCTATGCAGCATAGAATAATATATCGGGTTACATTGAAGCTACCGGTATCATTTGGGAAAGAAATGTTGATTATGTCTCTCTATGTGTCGATAGATCTATCTCCCCCCCTAGTACACCAGGAGAGAGAGACACTATCTAATCAATGAACCTATCATTGTCAAGCTGCAAAGTCAAACTGCCAATCGCCATCCACCACTCCCCGGTCTCTCGTCCACATCAAGTCAAGTCGATGGAGAAAAAGAAGACCTGAATCCTCGTCGAGTCGTGTTAGTACACAGGGTTAGTGTATGATTTTCCCTCGCTCGGATTCCCTCTCCACCGGTCCCCCGTTTTCCCGAGACAGCGGAAGTGGGTGTGGGTGTGGGGATGAAGGATTTTAGTTGATCTTTTCCACACTTAAACCATCCTCGCCATCGTCGTGCTTTTCCTTCCCTTTCCTTTCTGTTATACTTTTATCACGTGTAGCTACTAAATTAGCTTAGCTTAGATTAGCTAATCCTGGGCCAATATCTTGGCCCTTGGCACCATGCTAATTCTACATCTTTTATTCCACACTCAAAACCTCACACTTTCCTCTCCTTTCCTTTCCTTTCCTTTCCTTCCTTCCATAATGGCGTGGATGATCAAAACTAGTGACTAGATCACGCTTGGCCGTGTGAATGGCTTCGTGGCTGAGCCAAGCTTGTTCGTCAAAAAGTGGAGTGGATAGGATAAAAGATGCTACATTCGATGAGTTTTCCCTCACATGAATTTGGTACGAAGTCGTAGGTAAACATGAATTTGATTCATGGCGTGGCGATTGCTCTACTCCGTACAATTGAGAGTAATACTTGGATAGGTACTCGGTAGGTACTGGGTAGGTCTATGAGAGTCGGCTTTGAATATTGGCTTGCCGAAGATAGGGGAAAGGGAGATGATTGATGATATTATTGATGTTTTTCCTATTTTCAGCAATTCATGCATCTTTTGTTTTATTTTTCTCTTCTCCTCTATTGTCCTTTTTCTTTTCCTTTCCCTTTTATTTCCTTTCATTTCCTTTCATTTTCCTTTCATTTCCGTCTTTTTCTTCCTTTCTTCGCCAGTAAATTCCTAACCTGATTCTAACCAACACCTCTTACTCATCACTACCACCCTTTCTCTCTCTGGGGTGCAGCTGAATGCGGGGTTTTCCGGATAACCAAATAAATAAAGGGTACGGCCTAGCTCCCTAGGTATCGGATCGTATCGTATCTAGGTACAAGATTACTACCTAGGTTACGGTATGTCGACATAAGTTGGAGAATTGGTCCGAATCGTCAAAGCGGAATCTCTACTCTGCACACTCTCTCCACTTTCTCTTTGCCAAGCTTTGAAGGGTCAATCGATAACATTCTTATTTTCTGGCTAATTCACATGCTAAATTGTGGAAGCTTACGACAAGTGAGGGTATCTTCTAATACGTCCATAATCCCGCCGCAAGACAGCATAATTGATTGATTGACTGATTGTATTGAGAAATGGGTGGTGAGACCTGCGTGAATACTGAAGTTTGGATGAATTTGGCATTTAGCCTGATAGAAGGAGAGGTTTATTGTGGCAGTCGGGTCTATCACGTCGCAGCAGCGAATAGAATATTCAATTCACATGAAATTACAGGTATGATCTCTCCTTTTCGAAATTATTGACAATCAGAGAAAAGTAGAAAAAAAAGTTAGCCTCGAGGGCAATAAACTTTAAAGAGAAACATTATCTTCATCAATGTACTCTGTACGTACGCCTCCTTCATGCAGAAGATGATTTACTTTCTTCAGGCACTCAAGGATATAGATACATATATTGTCAAAGAATGATATCCGAGGTACCCTCGTACCGTCGGATCATTGCTATTAGAGGAAGATCATCGTCGACTCGACCCCAATTAATATCGAGACACGATACGACCAATTCTCCTTGGCGAAGTAGGTATCTCGAGGGTATTTGAAACAAAAAATGATGATATATGAAGAGTAAAAAAGTTGGACATCACAACAAGAGCTGCTGTGTGATATGATCATACATATATCAATATCTGGTAGGGTATTTATGATGATATCGACCTCATGAAGGGGTTAAGCGAAGACCATCAGATGTTACTCGAATACCCCCCTTCCCCCCCAAATTGAGCGTATGGGCGGTAACGGTTAAAAAGATCCGACCGCCGGCCTAAAATGCTGTGTCACGATGCTGCACGCCATCTCGGATCGAATGGTTAATCAGCAAGCCCTCCAGTATAAGATGGAAGCTGGAGAAGAAGCCCACGTGTGATTAATATATCAATGTATAGGTAGCGAGGAGGTAGCTGGGTTGTAGCTGAAATTGATTGACGAGGAGTGGTGTACAGCATAAACGCAATGTCGAGCTTGTCAACTCGGTGCTTGCATACGAACAAATGGAGATAAGGGAGTTGGCAGCAAGCATCTTGCTAGGAGTACTTTAATGTATGTACATTGGAGATAGTTTCAGACTCAGCAAGCCCTTGCTTGAAAAAGGTCTACTACCTAGGCACATACCGTGTATCTTCTTGTTTACATCAATATAGGTCTTACCTTGGAAATTAAGACTTTAGATACCAAGGTAAAAGATGTGAAAGGTTCATTTGATGTTTTGACCAAGGTCAATGGTGCTTTCGAAAACTTTAATCCAATAATCTGGGAGGCGTTGATAGAGTAACAAGTCACCACTTATTACACCTTAGCACGTAAAGCCGTCATGGAATCTTGGAGCTTCTTTGTGAAAATTGCCATGTCTTGAAAGTTTCATAGGAAACTTCTTTTCGGTGGGGTATAGCGTTTAGAGGAAAAAGATGGTTGGTTGATTGGATGAATTGAATGGTTGGATCATCCATCCATCGTGAAAAGCAGTTGAATAGTCATAGCAACAAGGCGAATGAACCGAATCTGTAACCTACAGAGGACCTAGTATATACCTAATACGTAGCTAGTCGCGGTATTCCCAACCTCGAGCCAACCTCCGACCCATCAGCTCCAACGTGGTAGTCTCGTAGTGTCTTCTCCAGCGATTCCATCCTCTTCATTTGATAAAACCGTTGTTGCTGACTTGACTCTCCACAATATAAAACACTTCACGTGAGAAGCTGGAAAGCAACAGAAGAAGAAGAATACTCGAGTAATTCGCTGCGTGATCGGTCATTCATCAATCAATCACAAAGCAAGAGCAGAAGCAGAAGCAGAAGCAGAAGCAAAGGAAGAAGACGTCCTTCAATCATCTTTTCCCGTGCTTGCGGATTCAAAATATCACACACATCATTCATTCATCGTCAGAAAACGTTATATCTGAATTTCTAACATTCACTATTACTCATCTTATTAATACATCTGCGTCTACGTCTACATCAACCACTTCACAATTTAGGATTTGTCTACTCGGTATATCTCCATGATATACACACTCCGTACACATTATATCATACCATACATATATATATATATATATCATCTCATGAGATATAA